ATATATATATATATATAGATTACTTTAAAAGTTATCTTAGTATAGAGTTGCCGCATTAGGAAAGAAGTTTGCTCCGAAGAGATGCTATCGTTGACGTACGGATACTACATGTATTGAGTTCATCTCTTATATTCAGTCTTAATGCTTTAATAGAGGGATCATTTGCATTCACTAGGCCTCTCTTTTGAGCATCAAGAACATCACGTTGAAGAGCGAGAAGAGACAAGACATGTGAATTCAATTCTTCTTCCACTGACATCAAACATCCTTGTAAGAGCATCAACTTGGCAGTGTTTGGACTTGTTCCATCATTGATAACTGCTCTTTCCTCTATTTTCAAATTCTTTTCTGTACTGTTTAAAAGGTCCACAATCACTGGACTGTCATTTATAGTTTTGGAGGTAATACCAGAAGAATCATCAGCAGTAGCATAACATATAGGTGTTCCCATCTCAGAAGAATCATTATGTTTTTCCTTCTCACATCCATTATCTGTAATACTATCTTTATTGACATTTTCTTTCATCTTTGGAGTCTGTTGATTTGAAGCTAATTTATACTGAAATGAGGGTAATGATGTCAAGACACTATCCTCATTATCACGTAATGGAGTCTTTCGCGGAGAAGTAAATCGTAACCGAATAGGCGTCTTTTTGCTACTTTGGCGGCCTGGAGTAAAAGAAACAACATAGGGTGGTTCTTCACTTATCTTTGACGTCTTGTTCAGTTTTCGATCTTGTTCTTTCTCTTTCTCTTTTTGTTGTTGTTGTTGTTTTACTTGCTCCTCGTGTTGCTTTTTATTCACAGGTGAACTCGTTAGCCTTCTTGCTAGCGAATGTGAAAGAGACCTTGGTGTTCTGGTGGGCTTTGAAATAGTCTCTACACTAGTTGAAGTAGGAGCAGCAGCTTTAATATCACTAACACCATGCTTGATATCAGACAATCGCTGACGCAGACGGTTCGTCACCATATTGAGATGCTCCACTTCTGTCCATAGTGTTTGATCTAAAAGTGATATGGAAGACTTCATAGATACTTTAATCAAATCATCATTATTGTCAGCATCATGATGATTATTAACACTACCAACACCAGCAGCCTTAGTAGAAAAAGAAGAAGATCCTGTACTAACATTACCCAATGGACGACCACGAGAAGAAGAGGAACTCGAAAAAGTAACTCCGGTAACTGCTGTCGATTGAGAATTGGAAGTCGAGGTTTGTGATTTTCGCATTCTCACAGGAGTAGTCTTCATTACTGTTGTGCGTCGTTGATTAGGTGATACTGACGATAATGATGTTATTGAAACTCCTCCTGTACGTCCTATATGAGGCTCTGTAGTGATATATTTTCGTTGTCCATTCATATGAACTCACACGTACTTGTCTATCTAGATCTAAATATATATATATGTCTCTCTTTCTTTTTATTTTTTTCTCTTTTTTCGGATAATGTCTTGGTATGTATATATATGGGTGTGTGTGTGTGTGTATACAGTCACGTTGTACAACACAACATACCTTTAAAAATAAATAAATAAATACAAAAGAAAATAAAAGAGTTCTGATCATTATAACGACGTTACAAACAAGAGAAATAAAAGATTCACAGAAAATTAAATACACACATGTACAAGCACGAGAGAGGGTGGAGAGAGAGAGAGTGTGTGTGTGTGTGTCTGTGTGTATATATAAGTGTATGTGTGAGTGGGAATCAACATATCTTAATCGAAATGTAATTAAATTCATTTTCTTCAGAAGAAAAAAAAAAAGATCATTTACTCTTCTTAATTTTTCCTCCCTTTTCTTTTTTTGCCATTATATCCTTACGCTTTTTCGCCTTTTGCGTCACCTGTTCTTCTGCACGTTCAATAAGTTTTAACTCTGCCTGTTTCGCACCTAGTGCCTGTGCACTTGTTCGGAATCCACCCTTTCCACCAGCTGTACCCATATCCTTGTCAACTAGCAACAAGAGACGTTTCTTTAGTAACTTGATGGCCTTTTCCTTTGCCTTGTTCTCATTATCCGCTTCATCATCAATCATGTCATCCACCTCAATATCTGCTTGGTTACTCATACGACGTGCCCAATTATTCTGAGCCCGTGATTTATCAATTTCCTTTTGTAGTTTGTCAATCTGTAAAGCCATTTTCACATGAGGGTGTAATTGATGTACAATAGTGGGTTGGAGGGCGAATACTTCCATCTCACCTGCATGGCGACCAAGAGAATCCATAAGTTTTGTATAGGAGACGTGTTCCTGTGCATTTACCATTAACAATGAAAGACCAGTACCACCACAACGGGCTGTACGACCGCAGCGGTGAATATACGCATCTGTGGAACGTGGAACTTGAAAGTGAATAACATACTTTAATCCTTCTACATCTAAACCTCGAGAAGCGATATCTGTGGCAACTAATACTCGTTTTTCACCTTTTCTGAACTTATCAATATATTTTAAACGTTGTCGTTGTTGAAGTGAGGCATGTAATCCAGCTACAGGGATTCCCAGTACCTCCAATAACTTCACTAAACGACGAAGCATGGAAATAGCATTGACGAACACAATAGCTCGTTCACGGTACATTTTAAGGAAATAATACAAATATAAATCTTTACTATCTCCAGGACAACGTAAATATGTTTCTTGTATCTTTGCAGCAACATCTGCCTTGGGTGAGATAGTAAACACATGAGCATTCGTTGGTTTAATCTCTAACTGTTGTAGTACCGTCATCATAGTATCAGCATTAGAAGTACGTATAACAGTCTTTTTTGCTCTCATATCTTTACGTTCATAATTTGTCTGCAATGATAATGTTGCACTTGTAACAAAGGTAACCACACGTTGATAATCTGGTGGACTTGGAGGCATTGGAATTGGACGTGGATCATCTTTTTTATAACGTCTTTGTTTATCTTTTTCTTCCAATTCAATACTATCTGTTTTTGCCTTTTCTTCAGCTTTAGACTTTTTAGAAAAGGGAACAAATTTTTGCTTTTCCTCATCCCATTCACCAGCCTCCACTTCAAAATCACCAGTTTCTGCTCCCTCCTCACGCTCCTGTACAAAACCTGCTGGTAACACCTCACAATGAATACGCTCGAGAAGATTTTTAAGTTCTTCAAAACGTCCAGATTGAAGAAGTTTATCCGCTTCATCGAGAACGACATAAGAAAGACGACGACTAATACTGTGTCCAAGATAACAACCCTCATTCTTTTGAACCAGTTCCCAAAGTCTACCAGGTGTGCAAATAAGTATATGTGGATGACGGTTTAATACACGCTGCTGCTTCTCTGGGGCCATTCCACCAACCACACAACCAACCACAACATGAGGGGCATGTTGTGTTAACTGAAGAAAAGCTTCATTTATTTGAAGAGCTAATTCACGGGTAGGTGAAACAATAAGTGCTTGCATTAGTCGGTCTTTAGGTACTTTATTAGTTTTAGTAGTAGATGTGGTTTTTTCATCACTCTTTTCATTCTCATCACGTACTCTTTTTCTACTATTCTTTTCACTCTTCGGATCTCCCTTTTTAACACCAGTTTTTTTATTCTTCTTTCCTGTCTTGCCATCCACTGCTGATTTTTCCTCCTCCTCTTGAGGTTGTTTATCATCATCTCCGACTTCTTTTTCTTCTTCTTTTTTCTCCTCCTTCTCTTCCTTCTTGGTTTCTTCCTTTTCATCATTATTGACTTCAAGGATAGTCGCACTTTCGCTAGCCAGTGTTGTTGTCAGAATATGATTCAGAATGGGAAGAGCAAAGGCAAGGGTTTTTCCACTTCCCGTTTCAGCTGCGATAACCACATCCTTCTGAGCTAAACCACGTTGCTTTCTACGACTCTTCGCTGAGGTACCAATTACAGTTGTTTCTGTCCCATTCTTATCTTTGAGGAGTACATTGGGTAGTACTTCTTCTTGCACTGGTGTGGGATGTGTGAATCGCATAGATTTCAAGGCTTTTAATAACAAAGGATGTAATCCCACTCGTTCCCAGAAAAGATATGGACTACCATGATGGCGATACTGATTCTTGCTTGTAGTAGAACCAATATTCTTTCCCTTATTTAATTCATCCTCTTCCACTTTAATCGCTGGGATAGCAAGCGGGTGGTCATCTGGCAATGGTCCATCTGGTAAAGCCATCTTGGCCGGCTTATTATTATTATTCTTATTGTTATTGTTATTCTTATTATTAGGATTACCATTGTTGCCTTTACCGCTTTCACTCTGCGGCTGCACGACTGGGCAGAGGAGGAGATCTGTGAGACTCCGCGGGTCTAACGCCACTTCTCGGGTGGGGGCGGCGGATCCCTGCGAAATGTCCGCCACGAGTTCCTCCAGCGCCCGTGAGCCGCTCTCAACATTATCGAAGCGATTATACCGCCGCTGCCCAACACGCATGCGTTTCCGCAATTCCGCGGAGACTTTGTGTCGGCCCTTCATATCATTTTGGCGAATGCGCTGCTTGAAGGTTTTCTTCTTCAGCGACATCTTCACCAACTTCTGTGAAACTTTAGATATGAGAAAAAAGAGGAAATGGGGGGGATATGTAAAGTGGAGAGAATGAAATGCGGTAACAATAGAGTGAATCTCTGCAAAGCAGCAGTAGAATAAAAACAAGAATAAGAAAAAAGAAAAAAAAAACACACATCAGATCACGATTAAAAAAAAAAAAAAAAAAAAACACCATATTAGCAATAAGGAATAGAAATACAATAAAATAATATATATATATATATATATATATGAGATTACAACATTTGTTTTTTTTTTGTTTTTGGCTTCTCCCACAATCACGTACGCACACTTGTACTTTTTTTTTTTTTTCTTCTTCGTTAGAGTACTCTCTGAAGTTCTGTCATTAATATGATGAAACTGCAGGGGGAAGAAAAAACCCTACGGTTCCCGTAACAAGGAAGAAGAACATATACAAAGATAATTTCTCTTTCTTTTAAAGGGTCCACCAAACAAATAAAAAGAAAATAATAGAAGAGTAAAAAAAAAAAAAAAAATCAAAAAATAAAAAATCAGAAATCAAAACCAGAAAGAATACAATAAAAAAGAAAAAAAAAACTTCCGATAATGATATTAGTAACTTGCAACCAATACGATAAATAACTCCCATATAGTAGAGACTACATATATATCCTCTATTTTAAGGGAATTAACAAGGTATGGTACTGAGAAAGGAATACGTTAGAAAAAAAAAAAAAAAAACATAGGTCTCTCATCGATTCCCAATTCGACATTCTCGTTGAAGAAGTTCACATAACTCATTTTTTGAGTTAAGATAACGTTCAACTTGTGCCAACTGTTTCTTTAAATCTGAAATTTCCCTCTCGTAGCGACAACGCTGTTGAAACCACTCTTCTTCTGCGATTGACTGCTTCTCCTTAAGTGAGAGATACGCCTCCTTTAATCGTGAGGGAGTCATATCCACTAAAATATTATTATTATTATACCCACCAAATTCATTATCACCACCATTTCTGTTATCATTCTTATAAAACTGGTTTCTCATCATGTCACTACTACTAGAAGGAGTAACAGTTATAGCATTTTGCATTGATAATTCACAGATCCCTTGTTGTTGTTGTTGCTGTCGTCTTCGTGGGCCATGAGCGCGTTCCCATGCAAGTGTTACAGTGAGTAAATCAATAACACTCAAATCATCTCTCTTTTCCTTCTCTAAGTATTGCAATTCAAGCAGTAGCTGACGGCAACGTGGGCAGTCCAAAACCGATGGTGTTTCCTCCCTTCTTGAAAACACAGCAAGTGGCCAATCTCGGTTAATATTATTATTATTATTGTCATTTACGGTGGTCTGGGTGGGACATTCCATAGATAAATACTTATCACGCAGACGGCGCAGCAGATCCTCCCTTTTCACTGTCATTACCACCTTTTTAGAACTTTGTTTGGTTTTTGAACTTTCCGCAAGTATGAGTTCAGGTGAGGTGAAGAGGCAGTGACAACGCAGATTACACTCCGTCAACCGAGGGAAAGATATTGGAATTCACAAAAACAATAAATAAATAAATAAATAAAACGTTGGCGAAATGAGACGCTAAGAGAGCATACACGTCTTTACACCTCGACCCCAAGATACTCATAGTCATTACACAAAAGTAGCAGAAATTAATAAAAAAATAAAAATAAATAGACGTTCACGTAACTGTGATACAACCGTGAAACGTACGCAGATATATATATATATATAGGTGCACGAAAAAAAAAAAAAAAATTCACCCTTCTTAACTTTTTCTTTTTTTTTTTGGTTTAACTATTCTAACGATATGACTTGAGGGTTACTTCGGGCCCTCTTTGTTTTTTTATTATTATTTATGCTCTTTGACATTCGTTAATTGGTTCATAAATAAGAATGGAAATATGCAAAAACATGAATATCGTACTTGTTGGTTGTTGTTGTTGTTTTCTTTCTAGTATTATTATTATTATTATTATTTTCTTGTAATCATTTCATTCCTTTTCCTAAACGTTAATATCAAAAAAAAAAAAATCATTTATGAGAGTTCTTTACCAACCAATCAACAACCTCATTGATATTTATCTGGCGTAGAGCGGAAATTGGAATAACCAACCATGGATTCTCGTGAATAGCCTGCAAGTTAAGAAACTGTACACATTCCTCCTTACTCATATGCGGCTCCAGATCAATCTTGTTTAGACAGACCAATAAAGGAAGTCCATGTAGTGCCTTATCCTCTAGTAATTTATGCAATTCACGCTTTGCAAGTTCTGTGCGCTGGAAATCACTGGAATCAACACAGTAAATAATACAATCACAACCTTGTGTATAGCGGCCCCACTCACTGCGAAAACGTTCCTGACCACCGAGATCCCATACTTTAAACTGAACGCCTTGTTTACGCAGCATCTTCACATTAAGGCCTACAGTTGGGAATGTCTCAATAGGATGACCCACAGAAAGTACATTTAACAATGTTGTCTTTCCACTGTTCTCCAGACCAACAAGACACATCTCAAGTTTCCTTTCACCTGAGAAAAGGTCCTTGAGCTTAGCCATAAGATTACCCATTTTTATTTCTCAAAAGAGAGACCTCTCTTTTTGCCGTTACTCTCCACACTTGCGGCAAAAGAAAAAAAAAAAAAAACAGAAAACGAAAAAAAAGATATAAAAACAAGAGGAAGTAGAGAAAAAAAATAAAAAAATAATTAAATAATAATAACAACAATAATAATAAAATACATGCAATAAGAACACATTTTAAAGACAAATAAAAAAAAAAAAAAAGCTAAATAACAAAAAAAAGAAATAGTAAAAAAGGAAACAACTTAACAATATACTCACACACTCACTTCCCATTAACCTCCACTCACACAAACAGCAATGAGAAGAACAACGAAAAAAAAAAAAACCAAAACAAAGCTGAATGTGCGATTCCCTCATGTCTCCATAATAACAAAAACAACAATAATCAATGAAAAATTTAAGGAGATCAATGATAATAACTAGTTTCGACGTCTTTCCGTACCATTAGAGGAAAGTGTTTCTGTGCTCGCCCCTGCCGCATATAAGACTCGGTATACACCATTACGATCATAAAAACCACTAAAATCCATCCATGTAAGAAGTGGAATGAGTTGGGGATAATCAGCGCCGACGGGTGATGCGAGTTCTGAAAGTGCTTTTAAGAATTTCTCCTCAATACTACGCAATGTTGTGTGAACTTGTGCTGTTGAGAGACGGGACATCACATCGCGTCTTCCTAATTCACAAAAACTGCGAGAAATCTCTAAAATGCGAGAGAGACTACGAAATCGATGGGCACTCGCAAGCACAAGGCCGAGTTCAACGCCTTGGAAAAAGTCCTGCAAGGCACTTGTAACCGCAAAGACACTATCAGCCTGTCCAATACGTCCAATCATACGGCCCCATAATGGTTCCACTACAAAATGAGCTGCGTAGAATTGAAATTGACGAATAAATTGAATTAATTGGTGTTTAATACTGTAAGCCTGTGATGGGTAATGAAAATCGGGTTCATCCCCTTCTCGCCATGCGGTAGTGAGACTACGCTCACAGGTCTTTAGCCATGTGAAGAGACGAAATATAACGTTAAAACGTTGGAGAATAAGAGGGTCAAGAACCATAGTAAGTGGCCATTTAAGATCGGCTTCTAATTGTAATAGTTCAATACAACGATGTGTTTCTACACGCATTCCACTTTTTCTTCCACAAGAACCACGTGGAGCAGACTCATCTGTTTGTTGATCAAAAGAACCATTTACATATTGCTCAATAGAAGTATCAGAAAAACTACATCCAATAGAAGTATGATATGGATCTGTTCCACAACATCTAGCTATAGCTGCTTGAAGTAGTACACGAACGGAATGGACCTTTACCTGAACAGGAGACTTAACGAGAAGTTCCTCTGCACTATCCAGAAAGTCAACCAACCAATCTCCACGTTGCTGAAGAAAATAACTTTTTAAAGATGATAAATGTCCAAGTAAATCTACTTGTGGTCCAAGAAATAATTGTAATACTTCACCACTAGCAATTTCATATGATTCTTCAATCATACGCTGAAGTTTATCAGCACCAGTCCAAACAAGTAAATTTTCAGCCACATTTCCAAATGCAGGAAGTGTACCATTATATTCACGTAATAAACAACAATACTTTCCAGCGTAAAAAACCATTTTTGCAATTTTTGAATTTGAAAGAAGAAAATTTGGAATCATATTTTTATTCATTGAGAAACGTCTTTCAAACGCAGCGGCATCCTCTACTGATGCTTCACCATAATCATCAGTTCCACCAGAAGAAGGAAAAATACGAGTTACCACACTTTTAATACTACTAGTTGTTATTGCTGTGGTAGTAATAGTAGCGGTAGTAGTAGTTGTAGCTGTTGTTGCATTAGTGGGTGGACGTGATTCTGAGATAAAAAATTCTCCATACGGATCTTCTAATAATCCTTCATGCATCCATCTATGTAAAACACGTAAATATGGTGCGGATGCCCGACGAAGTAATAATAATAGTAATTCATCATCTTCTCTACTACCAGAATATTTTTCTGCCTGTTCGTGAATATGATTAAGGAGTCGCCAACCCACCATAGAAAGAGTTCCTTCTTCTTCTAATATCGCATCTGTTGGTAATACCTGCCGTAGACGTACAATGTGATGTCCTGCACGTAATACTTCAGAGACAACTCCCATAAGTGGCATCGCTTTATTTTGTGCCCATCGCTGTAAATTGGCAATTTCATGTGCAAAGCTTGTACATACTTCCGACACCACTTCCCCAAGGGCCATGGCCACAAGACTCTTCCCCATATATTCGGCTCTTTCTACTTTTCGAAGGGCAATAAAGGCATCGGCTACAGGAAGAATAGTTTTGCATAAACTACGCATAGAGACAGGTACATAACGGGAGACAACAAAACCATCTCGTGAAGCTTGCAAGAGTGAACCACCATGTCCAACAATAGCGGCTAATACTTCTGTTGTCACTACACGATCCTGAATTTCTTCAGGTACATCTTCTAATTTTGTAGAGTCAGAAAACTGAATATGCGATGTGTTGAGGTTCACAGACTCACTATTAATATTACTAGTAGTAGTAGTAGTAGATTTAGATTTAGATTTAGATGTGATTCCTGTAGATGATCCTGTCATTACTGCAGTATCGTCGAGAGCCGATGATGAACTCCCACTATTTCCACTTCGTTTCATCCATTCTGTTTCTAATATGGCTATACTAATAGGGTCTGTAAAGCCTGCGGCAATAATAACCGCACGTCTATCGGATGCATGCTGCACGTGTTGAAAAGAAACGCCTTTAGACTCTAAAGTAGTCACAAATTTTGCCCACAAATGATTGGTCATAACTTATGATGTTTGTAATTTACTTTTTCTTGTTCTTTTTTTTTTTTTCTTCGTTCTACTCTTTTCCTCTTCCTTTTTTTTCTCTTCCTCCTTCTCTTTTCCCGCTACTGTTATTTATCAGATTGAAGCGATCGGGATAAATTGACCTCAAAGAAACGCAAACACACGTACGTGAAAAGAGAAGAAGAAGAAAAAAAGAAAAAAGAGAGAAAGAGTGTGTGTGTACAGGGGAATAGAGAAATAAATATAGGTCTAGAGTCAGATGGACTCAAACACTTTTTTTTTTCCTTTTTTTTTTTTTTTACTTCTTTCGTTATGTTTGTGCGCTCACTAAAGTAGAAAAGTGAAAGGCAACTAAATAAATTCCAAAAGAAAAAAAGTAATATATGTGAATGAGAAATGTGAATACAACCAATTCAACCACAGGTTCCCATAAGGAAAGTGAACATGAGAGAGAGAGAGAGAGAGAGAAAAAAAAAAAAAAAGGCCGTCGTCCCTTCAAAAAAAGGGGAAAAAAAAAAGAATAGAACTTCTGTGACAGAAGAAAAAAGGGGAATATTCATCTGCGATAATATGTAAAGAAACAAAAAAAAAAAAGAATAGAAAAGGGAAGAAAGACTACAAGAAAAAAGAGGAAAAGAAGGACTTCTCTTTGGATTGAGTCTGGTCAACATCACTTGCAGCCCGATGGCATACATCACGCCATACCATTTCATCAGAACGCAAAAGTAAAATTACATCACGTAATGTAATTAACTCCGATGAGACATCTTCTTCCTTTTGCTGTTCTTCTTTCTCTAATGATTGCTGCGTTTCTGTTTTATTCTCTTTGCCTTCATCCTCTGTAGAACTACTATCCTTCATCTCACCAGCAACTGCTGGTTTGAAGCCATGCAGTCCCCAGTAGTCTATCGCCTCTTTTGGCACCATTCGCTCGCTAACTTTACCCAAATCAATATCATTTATCATATGTGTCCATATCACTACAGACTCTTCACCAAGATAACCCAAGAGTCGAAACGCCATTCGTGGATACAGTAGAAAAAGTATCATAAATATTGTAAAATGTATGGATTGAAGAAAAAGTACCGCAACTCGCTCAATGTATGTTATTTCTGATACACACATAAGAAAATGAGAGTGAGAAGCGTGTGATTCGGCTTGTGCCAATAGTCCTCGAACTTCATCTGCATATCCTCCTTTTCCTGTTATACTAACCGGTGATTTCTTTTTAAACATCATGCGAAGATACATGACTAGAGCTCCAGAAAATGGGGCTACAGGTGCAATCGTTTTTAACATCGTGGCACGATGAAGATAACGTTCTCGAAAGAGTTTATCAGAACACCAACGCAGAAGTTTCACAAGGTAAATACAACAATAATCATTCAAACGTTCAGGAGGGAAATGTGTTAATTGTTCTCTCTCTAATGCGTTTATATCGGCTAAGGTTGATATTGGAGACGCAAATGTAAATCGTGAGGATGAACCCATAAAGTTAATATATAGAGAACTCTTATGAGACTCATCCTTAGACGTATTTGCAGAAGATTGTTTTGTCTCTCTCTCCTTGGAATCATTCTTGTTATTACTCTCACTGCTGTTATTATTGCTGTTGCTGCTATTACCACTACTACTACTACTACTACTACTACTTTGACGTGTAGAGATCAACAAAGCCACGGCAGGAGAACGTCTCAAACAAGATGCGGCTGCAACTGTTCGTGCAACGAAAATACGTTGCATCATCAATTTAATCTTTTCTTTTCTCTTTCTTTCTCTATCTCTCTTAAATAAATGAAATTACAAATAAGAAATGAAGATAGTAGCTAAACTATATATATATATATATATATATATATATATTTGTGTTGTGTGTGTGTGTGTGGGTGTTTGTATATGGTGTTTATTATACTTTTGTATTTCCCTAAGCAAAAATCAAAATAAAAAAATATGTGAAAGAAAGAAAACAATAAAAAAAAAACAATAGTAGTACTCTTATGCACTCAAGAAAATTAAACAGGATTTCCAGTTAATCCAAACAAACAACACGTACAGAGTAATTAAAGAGGGAGAAAGAAAAGCAAAAAAAAAAAAAAGAATGATCGTTGAGATGGGATAGGGAAATAAGGAAGACTTCACCGGAACAGTACCCCTAGTCCGTGTTCCTCTTAACAAATCGCAACAGAGCAAATGGGTCAGCTGTTTATACAGTAATGAAAAAAAAAGAAAAGATAATGGAAAAAAAAGTATACAAAAAAAAAAAAAGAGGGAAAACCAGAGAACGAAAAAGAGAGGTAAAGAGGTCGTGAAAGTAAGGTGAAAAGAAAGGTATATCAACACAGAAAGCAAAAAGTATATGAACATTATTACAGAAACAAAAATAAATAGATAGATATATATTCACATCAACAAGTATATATATATATATATATATATATATATATATATATATNTTTCTCTCTTTCTCTCTCCTTCCGCGCGCATTTTTTTTTTTTATTTTTATTGCAATCTCCCTCCTACTCTGCTTTTCCAATATAACTTATTCACAGACCTCATTCATCTTTGTTTGTTTGTTTTTTTCTTTTTCTTTGGGGAATCACCTTCATATTTTTTTTTTCTTCTACCTTCTTCTCTTTCGTTCTGTGGTCTGTACTCATTCTACTGTATTTCGTCCAACATCTCATTTGGCAAGTTCCCCCTCGTAACCCGTTGCACATTGTATATGTAAAGTGAATTCAAAATAAGAATACGTTCTGAGCAATCGATTACGCCAGAGCCAACAAATGAAAAAAAAAAAAAAAATTGCAAAGAAGAACAAAAACATATACAATGAATAATACTACTAAAATAATAATCATAATAATAATAATAATGATAATAAAAATAATAAAACATAATAAAACGTTCAAGAAGTTACAGGAGAACTAAAAACGAAAAGGAACAAACAGCTGACGGAACGTACATTGTAACTAATCACAAAGAACAATGCTCTAATGGCAAATAAAACTCTGAGTGTGAATAACAAAAAAAAACAGGCCGAACTGCGTACATATCCCTTACATAAACACATAAAAAAAGGGATACAGAGATACAGTAAAAGAAAGAGAGAGAGAGAGAAAGAGAAAGAAAGAAAGATGCTTACCATTCAAATTATAAAAATGCTCACTTAATCAAAAAAACAAAAAAAAAAAAAAAAACTTTTTTTTTTTTCGCTTTTACCTTCCGTTTTTCTTCACCTAGTCAAAAACCTCTCCTCATATTTATTTATTATTTTTCTTCTGAAAATCAAGATTATGTCCTTTTTTTTTTAGGTCAGCAAAAAGCACTCCTGCCCTTCCATCACAGCCTGACGTAGTTTTTCCTCCAATATAGCCTTTGAGCTGTAACTTGGCAACTTGAGATAGTGGGCGCATGTGTTTACAGTTGGCAGCGATTCATCCATCAGTAGTTGTTGGTGTTGTTGTTGGTGCAACTGCGCCATTCCCCGCTCCTCCACTCGCATTAGTGGCACACTCTCCCAATATCGTTCATCCCACGTTCCCTCCGACCGGCGCACCACCGTGATGGGTGGCTGCAGTCCTCCCTGCGGTATTCGCGTGGATCCGGTGACGAAGCGCAGAAAGGCGCGCTGCATCTTCGCATCCCACGACCCCACGACATCCCGCAGGGCGTGGAGAACGGGGGAGCGGGCGTCGTAGCCGTGGGCGGGGATGAGGTCCCTCGCGAGGTCCTCCGGCCGCGGCCACACCGGCCCGTCCGGCCCGGCGATCATCAACTGCAGCTCCGCCGCGGTGAAGAGCCGCAGGTGGGGCGGCACGACGGTGTAGCGAAGGCCCTGCAGGAAATGCCGCAGCGGCCCCATCAGCCGACGCACACAAAAATGCCGCCGCACCGCGCGGACGTACGCCGACACGTTGGCCGCCACGACAGGCGTTTGGGCCCCGCCGCGGCACAACTCCACGTCGCCGTCCGGCAGCACAAAGAAGAGACCGCAGGCCGCCAACTCCGCTGCCGGGAGGGTCTCCAGCTGGAGAAGCTGCCAGTGCAGCTGCGGGTCAATCTCCGCCAGCTGATTTTCATCCAGTTGGCCGAGAATACCACGAACAAAACAGGGATGCAAGGGGAGATCTACCACTCGCTCTTCCATTAAAACACGACCAACGAGTAATCCAAGAAGTTCAAAGTAAGATAAAGACATCATCGTCTGTGAAGCAGCAGGGAAAAGAGGAATTTGTACACGACGAGCTGTAGCACCAGATGCATCCGTATATTCTTCCGTCCGCCACATTTGAAGACTCTCCTCTTGTAGTTTGGCAGATAATAAATTATAAAACTCCAGAGCAGGACCAACACCAACACCATTTTCATTTTCAAATTCCACATTTAATGGTAATGGACACATGACATAGCTACGTAACACCTTTGCACCACTTTCCAGAATATTATTCCGTTGTACAATTACTTTTTTTGTACCATTTATGTTTAAATCAGGTGTAACCCATTCTAATCCATGTAATGGGATTACACATCCTCTTCTTTGTGCAGCTTCTTTTAATCGAATAAGTGCAGGAGTTGGGACACGACGTACAGATAATAATAAATGCAGTAAAATTCGTCTAATATTAAAGCTAAAAACTTGAGGATAGGTCCAAAGAATGTAACCAGCCAAATGTTGATCTTTTTGACCGTTTAAACATGTTAAAAGAATCGGAAAATCAAGTGGTGGTAACATAAAGGCAGTGAGATGGTTATAAAAACCATGAATAAGCGCACTACAAAGACGTCCTTCTTCATGAGAAATTTTTATTTCTGCCATATTTAAAACATTCCAAAGTTCATCCAGAAGTTTCGCTGCAGCTCCAAGGGAATATTGAACTCCTGTAAATTTACACAGACGACCAAAGACATCTTTCGGATAACAATACGAACGTTCCCATCTTTTTTCTTCTTCTTCTTCTATTACTTCTTCTTCTTCCCCATTTGTACCCCATACAAGAGGCTCTTTTACAATTACATATCGAATACTATGCATAGCAGAACATAATGTTAGTATACGTTGTAATGTCTGGGATGATTCTTCACCATAACCTACCTCACCTTTTTCCATGTCTGCAAGTAGAGTTGCCAATGTCTGCGAAGAATTACAACACAATTCCAATACAGAAGTTGAAAGATCCGTAACAGGTTCACCATTACAAAAGAAAATAATATTATCCACTGTTATAGTACAAGATGAAGAATTATGATTATCTTGATGTAATAATACCTTATCACCAACTGTTCTGTTTGATCCTTGAGGAAAACCATTTGATATCTGTCCAGCTACAGGAACTGTTGTTGATACCACACTAAGAATACGTTCACACTCTGAATCTTCTACCTGTAAAGGGAAAGGTGTAAGTCGTAAAGGGGAACTTATTTGTTCTGCAGTTTCCATAACTACTGCTGTCATTCGAGGAATAGAAGGAAATGAAGGACTAATTTCATCCTCAGTTTCTCTAACCTCAACTTCAGAAATAAGTAATCTTCCCATGTTATAAAAAACGTCCAAATCATTATTTTCTGAATTATAAAGTCTTCGTCCTATTAAACTTTGTGACCTTTTTTTATCAGGACCAGCAGCATATTGTTGTTGTAATTGAAAAAGAATATACTTAGCAATATAATTTAAAGGTGTAGTTGGAAGGACACTAAAAACGTTTTGTTCTATTCCACAACTTAAAATGGTGCGGTTCTTTCCAGAAATAAATAAATTCCGTGAAGAAGGTAATAAAGGTTGGCCTCTATGAACTTCCATACTTATCGGTTCTAATTTAATATTGAGAGGTGTCCACATACGATCTGACATAGTCATCATAACTTTACTTCGACGAAATCGACGAGCAAATCGTGTAGGTTCTCTTTCAATTGCGGAAGCCAATTCAACATTAACAAGACCAGTATGTTCATTAATTACACGTTCAAGAGATTCCCTTACTCCTATAAAGGATTCTTTAGTTTTTTCATCAAGTAATATATTATTATATTCAGAATTTTTATGAAGAGTTTCAGCTAAATTCGCTACAAACTCTGAATTTCCATATACAAGAGAAGAAAGATCATTTCCATTATCTTTCATATAATCATAAATAGCAAGTATATATTGTACTCCAAATGAATATTCCATATATGCCTCAGCTCGATTATTAATATCAGCGATGATAGATTGACTAAGACAACTAGATGTACTATGTGTTGATCTTGTCTCAAGAGGATTTGTTGAATAACCATTTTTTGAATTCATAATACCTAATATAGTTGATGAAACTTCTCCAGAAGGATTTAAAGGATTTATAAATCGTTTTTCAGTTTCTTCTCGTAAAAGTATGTAAACTTGTTCTGACATTCTCTGATGTACTACTTCTATTATCTCTGATGTACCATGGAAAGGACAGGGAATCATTCCTGTACTTCCATATAATGCTGTTCGAAGTGTTGATTGATGTGGACTAACAGATCCAATAACAGATTCAAGTTTCTGAAATACAAGAAGTTGTTGAGTATCTGTAAATATTTTTACTTTACCCTGAAATAGGAAATAAAGAAGTAAAAAAGTACTTAATGCATTCATTTGAGTTTCACAAGTTAAACTCATAGCTGGTACTCGAGAATTCATTTTTAATCCTAAATATACCAATCCACGTACAAAAAGAGTATCACATTGAAATTCTCTAAAAGGACAAACACCAGCTGTTAATGATGTAGGTAAACTATTTGTAGTAACGAGGTATGAAATGACAGTTCCAAGTTGAGGTGTTAACGCCGTAAGTTTATCATAAATTTCTCCTTGAGATTCATTATGAAAATTCCGATGACCAACTCGAAGATATTCAGCTACAAGATCTACACTTCGTAGAATTAAAACAGAAGAATGTCTCGCAATGATAGGACTTACACTTCTTTTTATTACAGTCACTAGAGCTGGTAGACACCATGTTATCAATACTTGAATCATTGTTCCTTGTAAAAACTGAGAACGTGTAGACGATCCACGTAAAATTTCTTCACGAACATCTCGAAGAGCTTCACGACAAAAAAATTCATAATTTTTTCCTCCTTGTTCAGATTGTAATCCCTTCTTGTTCCTCTTATTCATCTTCTTTGATTTATTTTTTCTTTTTTCACAGAATCGCATATACATTTTAGAACAACAACAGAAAGGTACATTCACTAAACGTTCTCTATCAAGTGTAGATGAATATGGTAAAGAGTTTACAGTCTCTAGAGGAATAGCATTACTAGATATTCGTCTATTTCTAGAAAAATATTCCTCTTCTTCTCCTCCTCCTCCTCCTCCCATCACCATTTCATTTCCTGTTAAACCTCCCACTACCGCTGCGGCTACTGGTGCTGCTGCTGCTGTTGTTGTTGTTCCTGAAATTGAATTATCATCTGTGTGCCTATTCTCTCTCCACTTGGGACGACTTCTCAAGAAGGAAGATTCCTGTTTATCCACACCATATACAGAGGAATTATATGGCCAACTGTTATCATCACATGTACATCGCATAACTCGTCGATGCATATAACCAACAAGAATAGGATGACGATAAAGTGTATGAGGATAAGCAAGATGTTCATTACTCATATACTGCATATAATCAAAATCAACCTTAAGTGTACGAGTGGAAAGTTGTAATTCATATGGTACAAAAGAAGAAAATCTTCGTTGTTTAATATATTCACGTTCTAATTGTTTACTAAGATTTTCATTACAATCACTCCTATTGTGAAAATCATCTTCCCACTCCCAAACATAATGAGGAATTGTAATATAATAATCACTATCATGCGCTACCAATGCAGAAGGAATAAATACGAGTAGAAATTCAAGAAAAGGAATAACTTGTTGTTCCTCCGCAATACAAGGAATAGCACTAACATCATTCCCCAAAAGAGCTTCTGCAAGATCTACTCCATTCTGTGGAAGTCGTTTCATTCGGTATTCCAAAAGTGTTGTTATGATACCACAAATCGTTTGTACCACATGATATTTAAGAAAGAGTTTAACGCCTATAGAAGTATCCGTAAGAAATATAGTCAATAAAGATGAACAAACAGCATCCCGAAATCCCACTGCTTGTGAACCTAAATAGGCTGTACGTTTTAAAACGGTAACAAGTGCAGAAACAGCTTCTTCTACTAGATCCATATTTTTCTCAATCATATATTTTGTATGAAGTAATCGATCAAAGACAAGTGTGATACATTCTATTAAACGTAGAAGATACAATTCACTCTCTCTTGGTAATCGCTGCTCCAGAGAATCTCCTCTTTCATCTTTTAAAATCTCATAAACTTTATTATGAAACCGTGAAAAGAGCATTCCACATGGTTTCGCTAAATATGTATGCCATTCCTCCCTTCGCACAGAACTCAGTAAATGACATAAACACTTCAAACAAATCATACGTAAATGATGAGAATTCAAATCAGCTTCAATAGTCGTCAGTATCGCAATTGCATTTTCACGCACCATTTGAACATTAGCCTCTAAAGTCACATGACCAATACACTTCAGTAATTCTTCTAAAAGCGCTTCATTCCCATCGGGTTTAGTCTCCTGCAGAAGTCGCAGTAGTGGCGGTATTCCTTTTGCAGATGCAATGGCCGAACCCCCACGCGGTACGAGATCTGCCAAGAGTGCGAGTGTCTGCACAGTGAGGGTTCGCAGTCGCACATCCTCCACGGCGGAAACGGTGGTGAGGGTTGAGACTAATACAGTTGCATAGCGATCAACACTGAGACGACGAATAAATATTTCATCCCCAAAGCAGAGAGAAGCACAAATAGCATCAAGAGCTGTGATGAGATGTTGAGATGATGTCTCACTCTTGTTTAAACGGTAGGCATGCAAGGCATTTTTCAATCCCTTTGCAGTCACTTCATCATTTATAGACGTAACATTTCCAGTACCTGCAAATGTCATTTTCTAAAGAAAAACAATAATAATAAAAAAAAAAAAAACAACACAACTTTTGATTAATTTTTTTTATTATATACTTTCGCTTTTTTTTCTCTTTTTTCCCCCGCTTTTTTATCTTTCGTCCTCTTTCTTACTCTCTCCCCTTCTTTCGTTCGTTTTCGCCCTTTTGTCTTCCTTTTTACCTCTTCTGATTAATTTTGTGGTTGGAGAATCAAAGATGGGTTACAGCTCTTCTTTGATAATGGACCTCAGCGTTATTCTTCTTTGACCTCCCTCACAGTGTATAAATATATATATATAAATATATATATATATATTTATATATATATATGTTTGTGTAGGTCTGTGTAAGTGTAAATGCAAAAATATGAGCGTACAATAGGTGTGAATCAGTAGTGATGGTGTTACGTATACAAGTAATACAATCTAAACAGCGCGTAAGGGGCGATGCTATAGCTGTAATAAGTAAATATCGTCGTGATGATAGTGAGAGAGAGTGAGAGAGTGAGAGAAAAGAAAGAGGGGGGAAACGCAAAGCAACCAAAACAAAAAAAAAAAAACTACTTGCCTAAGGTGTACAATACTCAAAAGAGGAAAAAGAAATTAAACAAAAAAAAAGGAAAAAAGAAGAGATAATGAACGAGTAACACATTGTGAGATGACAAATAGAAGTGGAATACAGTAATAAATAAATAAATAAATAATCATTGTGAAGCTAGGATTTTTTCTTTCTTTTTGGGACACATCACTCATCATTTCGCACGAAAAAAAAAGACGTCAAGAGTTCTCTTTTTCCTCTTTGCTGTTTCTTTCTTTTTTTTTTCTTTTTTCCACCGTTCATCTACCTTCTGCTTTCTTCTACTACTTGTTTATTTGCTTTTTCTTTTTTTTCTCGACTTCATTCCAGTACAAACTCATACAAAAAAAAAAAAAAAAAACAACAAAAATAAGACAAAGGAGGAAAATGGCTTTACTACATGTTCCTCATTCTTTTCTCTCTCTCAAGCTGCATAAAGCCCTGTACGCAGGAAAGAAGGAAAGAAGTAAAGAAGAAGAGAGAGAGAGAGAGAGAGAGAAGGGTGGAAAAAAAAAAAATAGGGATAATAAGGAGAACGCAATAGCTATAACCCTTTCCTTCACTCCATTCATATATACACTCAAACTCATAAACACCTTCACACAGACACATAAATATATATATTTTTTTTTTCTTTCTTTCTTTCTTTTTTTTCTCTTTTGCTTTCAATTCTTCTTTCTGTTTCTCTTGTTTCTCATTTCCACATCTTCTTTAAGGAGACACTCTTGTCCTGATCCTTGTGCATAACCTTTGCCACCGCAAGTTCAAAATCTTCTTGTGTGATGTGCACACGGCGTTCTCGCAGGGCAAACATTCCCGCTTCTGTACAAACAGCTTTAATCTCAGCACCAGAGCAGTGATTCGTCTTCTCTGCAATACTCTTTAGATTAATACCACGAGTAAGGTTCATTTTTCGAGAGTGAATTTTAAGAATTTCAAATCGAGCCGCCTCATCAGGTGCGGGAAATTCAATTTTTCGATCAATTCGACCTGGACGTAATAACGCTTCATCCAAAATATCCATACGATTGGTAGCCATAATAACTTTAATAGACTGTGTAGATTCAAAACCATCCAATTGATTGAGTAACTCTAACATGGTGCGTTGTACCTCACTATCCCCACTGCGACCTTTATTTTCCAATCGAGTAGACCCAATAGAGTCAATCTCATCCATAAAAATAATAGATGGACTGTGTTCACGTGCCATCACGAAAAGTTCTCGCACCAATCGTGCACCCTCACCAATATACTTCTGCACCAACTCTGCTCCACTGACTCGAATAAACGTACAATCGGTGTGATGGGCCACTGCACGTGCGAGTAGTGTCTTTCCTGTGCCTGGAGGACCGTAGAGTAAAACACCTTTTGGCTGCGCAATACCGAGAGCCTCGAAGAGTTCCGGGTGTTTTACCGGCAGTTCAATCACTTCCTTAATCTCCTTCACCTGTCGTGAGAGACCACCAATCTCATCATAGGTGGAGTCGCTTCCGGCCTTTTCCACCTTCATCAGAGAAACCAGAGGATCAATCTTCGTAGGAAGAATGTAGTGAATGGCATAGGTGGAGTTGCGAAGGGCCACACGTGTGTTACGGGAGAGATCGGCAATATTTATAGTCTTGTCTACATCCACTATCATCTTTCCTTGACCAGAGCTGAGGTTAACCAATACTTTTCCCTTTTCCATTATCTCCACAACGTCTGCAACGACGGATCCACTTTCAAGCAACATTTGCACCTCCTCCTTTAGGTGACGAACACGTCTGTTGAGTTCATTCCTCTGAGCCTCAAGACGTAAGTAATTATCATGCAACCGTTTCTCCTGTGAACGTAATTCATGGATCTTCTGAAGAAAGTATGTGCTGACAGGATTATTTGTGCTACTAGTGGCCGTTATAGCTGCCACCGCTGTTGCCATTGTTTTCTTCTATTGCTGATGTTGTAGCGATCAATAGATATAAAATATATATGAGTAAATGGCGTTTACCTTTTTGTTGTTGTTGTTGTTGTTAAAATTGGTCGTTCAAAAATAAAAGAAAACAAACGAAAAAAAAAAAAAGGAAGAAGAACCACGACAAAAAAAAAAAATATACATATATATAAAACAACCATACAAATACTTATATATCAGAAAGAAGAAAAAAATAAAAGGCACACCTACTGTGATCCAAAGTCTTCTGTCTGGTAAAAACAGAAAAAAAAAAAAAAACAATTTATCACTTCTCGTACACACATTCAAAAATATGCATCCGCACGTATATAATCATACGTAAATCTATAAATAAATGTATATATGTTTGCTCTTTCTCACGCTCACGTATTATGCACTTTATTGGCAATAATCGTGAGGAGGAGATAATAATAACAATAATAAGTGAGAGTAGTACAAGAAAGAAAAAAAAAAGTGCATCTAATCTCAAAAGAAGTTAAAAATATCAAAAGAAAAAAAAAAAGAACAAGCTAAAGGTGTACAGTGAAGTTAATAAGGAGGGACAGAATAAAACAAAAAAAAAAAAAGTAACTTCATAAATAAGTGAACATTACAATTTCCTTGGATTCTCTTCCCAGAGAATACATCTCTTTCCTCCCAAGTGTAAAACGGAGTGATGTACGCCTTACTTCTTTTTATTTTTTTTTTTTTTATTTTTATCATTTTCAAGTACGGTGAAGAGCGGTACTATAACCCAGCAGTGCGTTTAAATTCTCTCATATCAATTATTCATCAAACAAGTGTCACCGATGATTCTACATTCACTGTTGGTCTCTCTGTGATAGCTACGGCTTTTTGCCCTATCGCCGGTATCTACACGTCGACATTTGCGATTAACTTCACTTGTCGGAGAGTATGTTGGAGAGCTTGCACTGGAATCACAGTTAGCATCCAACTCCTCAAGAAAACGTTTGCCTCGCCGGGATTGTTGTTGTTGTTGCCCATGATCAATAGAGCTAGACCTCATGCGTTTACCCTCTACTTCTTCTTTTACAACTCCATTTGATTCATCAAAGGGACCAGAAAAGACTAGTCGCTTTTGAGTTGGAGATGCTGCAACAATCAAACGTGACATTTGATTAGCAAGATCTATGGATTCATCAACCTCTTCAAGTGGAGTAATATGAGAAAGAATAGAAGACTCACATGGCATAGAAATACTGTTATTGTTATTGTTATTGTTTCCATTCAATGTATCCACAAAATGTTGACAAAGCATCATTTTCGCATTAGGGATATAAGATTCATCCACTTCAGTGTAAAGATAAGTTCGTCCAGGACCTTTTTTAGGTGCACCTGGATCACTAGGCTGTATCATTGTCATTACAGCTGTCTGTGTTCGACAACTCGTTGTGCTTCGTTGACTACATTCAGCTTCCTCTTGGAACCAATGATGATTGTTCTCTGGAATACACTGACTTAATTCATGATGTTCATCCATCCCATTCTTTTCCACCTCTTCCGACTCAGCTGTAAAAAAAGGTGTATGTTGTACAAAAACCCCATCCTCTTCATTCGTTATGGCAGAAACAGGAAAAGAAAGCGGCCGCGTCAATGGAAAAGATACATCCTGTTCTCGATTTCCACAACAACGCCCTTTACCGATTCTATTGTTGTTGTTGTTGATGTTGTTACCACTAATGTTGTTCTCAGCGTAAACGTTTCGTTCTCCCTCTGTACCGACATTCTGCTCCCACAAAGAGGGAATGGAGGGCTGTGGGTTGAACTGCAAGTGTCTGTGGCCCACTGCTCTCACCGGTGATGCAAAAGGGATGCCTTCCCGCAGGGGTCCATCCCACATCCTTGTGGGAAAATACGGGATATTAAATACTCTAACAATTAAATAGTCTGCTAGACTTCACTTGTGTAAAAAAAAAACAGGGAATAAGCCAAATAAGGAGAGTGAAGGGGGAGAAAAAAAGGTCACAATAAGAGGCACTGAACGAAAAGAGAGTGTAAATGCACATTGCTTTAAAGAAAGAAGGAGGAAAAATAAATAAATAAATAAATAAATAATAATAATAATAATAATATGACTAAGACAGCAAGAATTTAATTCCTCAGAAATATATATATATTTATTTATATTTATATATACCCGATAAGAAAAAAAAAAATGAAATATGACTTCTACACAATGAGTTTTGGCGGTTCTGTGTCAAATAACAAAACCCGGTCAATTCCTTGAAGTGGTTTAAATGAAATCACTTCTTTTTTCGCTTCTACTTTTTTCTTTTCACTTCGTGCTCCAACCTGAGTAGGTTTTGAGAGAGACCTTTTCTGGCTCTTCGCTGAAGGGGATCTACCCCCTACAGAATTGGCAAGATTTTGAGAGGAATTTGTTAATACACTTCTTCTTCTTTCACTATTTCCCAGACTACGAACACTATTGGGAGTTTGCGGTCTAGAAAATCCAGTAGCTGAAGATGTACGTCCGGGACTACTCACTCTTCGAATGCGCGTAACACTATCTGTACGTGCTATTGGGGTACCACATCGAGAAGAGGTTCCATTCCATCTTGGTTTCGCTCGCTCCGCAGAAGGATTCCTTGGAGGTAGTGGTGGTTGATACTTGTAGCGTTCAGGAATTTCTTGTGCACACCGCGGTACATGATTATAGGGAACTACTGCATTTTCTAAATTTTCCACAACCCTTGAAACACTTTCGTGTTGAGAAATATTGCGACAGAAAGACGTTGGCCCTCCTCTGTATGATCGGCTGGCGGTACTAAGCGGTGTATACGGCCTTGGCAGTCCAGGAAAACTCGCATCACACGAAGCCAACCGCGCGGATGATGGTGAAGATCTCGGTGGCGTTGCGGAGCCCCCACGCCGCACTCCAGACATTACCGTCGACGATGATGTTCGCCGTGGAGTGAAGGCCTCTTCACGTCCTGTGCTGTCCGCTCTTTGCCCGCGTGTGATGGATGTGCGCTGTGAGGAGGGAACATCTTGACTCTGCGATCGCTGGCGCAGCACCGGTTTGCCGTGTTGGGCCTCTAATGGTGTGATCTTGTCGTCAATTAAGTCCTTCACAACAGAGCGGACGTGGCTGTAGCGACGTGCGGAGGCAGTGCGACTCGCAGGCTTAACGGATGCGTTTGAAGCCGTCCGCTGATCGCGACCCCGCTCCATACTCTCCTTCAGCAATTAATACACTTTGTAATAATACTATATATATATATATATATATATGAAGTGGGGAAAACGTAAAAAAAAAGAAAGCGGGAGAAAGAATGAAAAAGAAGAAGGAGATATATATACCTATAAATATATACTTATATATATATGAAATTAAGATATAACAGATAGATTATATAGATAGATAGATAGATAAAAGGAATGAAGGAGTGAGGTAGGTACAACGGAAGTGCGAGGAACGAGGAAGCAAAAAAAAAAAAAAAAAGAAAATAAAAAAAAGAAAACGGGAAAAAATATGGTCATACATGCAAAAATCATGCATACAAAACGATGGAATGTTCAAGCACACAAACACAAACACGAAAAAAATGAAAATTTGAGTCAATCGTCGTTCCATCATCAGAGAGGGAAAAGGAGAATGAGAAAAATGAAGAAACGGATGGATGAAATAAGTGAAAAGAAGAGAGAAATATATAGTAGAAAGACTGTTTTTCTGCACGTCAGAAAGGATTCTGACACTTACCACAGAATCTTATCAATCTCATTTATTTCCCTTTCTCTTCAATTCTTCATTAAAAAAAAAAAAAAAAACAATCCTAACACTCAAACACACTAGTAGAGTGAGAAGGTGGTTGAGAATTCTTGGGTACCATCAGTCATATTCGAGAACTCATCAGTAATAGAATGAAAAAAAAACCTATGCGTACGGTCTACAGAAAAGTACAGGACCCATACCATACAGGGGATAAAAAAAAGAAAAAAAAAAAACAGAAGAGAACGATGAAATATGGTAGAAAACATCCAAAGACTAAAAAGAAGAGAACAAGGAAAGAAAAAAGAAAAAAAAAAGCGTTGGTTAAAAGAAAAAAAAACAAAATGATTCCCCTCAAGATGGTACGTTGCGGTAAGTTAGCAGAATAATATCAATTTGTTGGAATATATTCTACCACACAAATACGCACACACAAATATCTTTCCAACGTTTCTTTTTTTTTTTTTTTTTCTTCTTCTTTACTTCACGTATGGCTTATATCACTGTACAAACAACGCCTACAAATAATGACGATGGCACGTGTATTTCATCTGTCCCTTACAAGATCAGAAGAAAAAACACAGAGCAAATAACAAGAAACAAAACAAAGAAAAATTCCTTTTAATAAAGATCAATCCTCTTCCTACAATCCACCCCTCACAATCATCCCTCCCTCTTTTTGCTCGTTTATATTCCCTACAGATGACGGAAAATAAATATTTTTTCCGAGGTTCGCTGATAACAGACAGCATCTGTCCTATTTTTTTTTTTTTTTTCCTCCTCCTCGTCTTATCATCTCTTGTGATTTTTAGGTAGAAGCATACACACTCACTCACACACATACAGAAAAAGTAAAAAAAAAAAAAAAACAATCGTACATACGCACATACTCATACATAATCATACAGCGGAACGGAAAAAAAGAAAAAAAAAATGCATACATACATAATGGAAAAAAAAACAATAATAATAAAGAACAATCCGATTTCAGAACATTCATTCTTCCCTATACATCTTTTGCTTTCCCTTCATACTCCTACAATGCTCTTGGATTTATCTACAACTCTCACTATATATATATATATATATATATATATATACCCATTTTACGATATGCGTTGGGGTGATGTTCTTCCTGTGCGTTTCCGCCTTGACTTGGATCGTGCTGTGGATGGTGCCTCTGAGCCTCCCTCCTCTGTGGAGCTGAAGACGGTGTTGTTGCCCACATCCCGCTCGAGTCGATCGGCCTCCTCCTCCTCCGGGTCGAAGGGGAGTTTCGGCGGCGGCCCAAACGCCGTGCTTGGCTCCGGCCCGTAGCGTTTAATTAAAGCCACCAGCCAATCATAGAGAGAAAGAGGCCACTTTGCAGAGGCCACATCACGTTCATAGAGAGTAAAGTGAAAATCACGCAGAGACCATGGATCATAGGCGCGATAGAAAGCGGCAATACGTTTTTCATAATATCGCACATATGCACGATGAAATCGTTTCATTGAGGCACGAGTAAATTGAAGTCGTTTTGGAATAACCTCAAATGCAGGAATAGTAATACGCAATGTTACTTCACCTATAATAGCAGTTAAATCTGTACTTACTACACCAAAGGTTGTACGTGGAAAAGTAAGAGCTCTACTAGAGGTGCGTATAATAGGAACCGTAATACTTTCACCAAGATGATACGTTCGTTTTGTTAATAAAGCGCGTAAAGACAATGCCACACGTCCTAATTCTTTATCTTGTACTAAATTACTCATAATACCATGTACAGTACGTTTAATGGCATTTGAAGAGGCATGACCATTTTGTAACATAGGAGTTTCATGAAGAGCAATTTCAAGCATAGGTGCATTTGCTACCTCTTCTGTATCTTTTAAAAATCCAATATCCATACGTATTTCTGGGTAAAATTTACGAGTATCAATTTTTTCAGCCCATTCAATTTTCATTGATGATCGCATTTCTTCTTCAGCAAAATGTGCAACAACAGATATAAGTCCTTTATCTAGAGCATTTTTATCTTCACTTTGTGTCATATTTATATTATCAATATGTATATAAAATGTAAACTGTACAGGTTTAGGTGCAAACTTCTTTCTAAGTTCTTTATGAGCTTCTCTTAAAGAAGTCGATTGTGCAATAAGTGGTTGCACATGAGGAAGTTCCTGAGGTGCATATTTTCTAACTAAAGATGTTACATCTCTTGTTACTTCTTCCAAAACACTTCCATCACTACCATTATGTGGTTTACCATAAATAACAACAGTTCCTTTTGCAAATCCAGGAGACTGAAGTTCTACTCCTAAAACACCTACTTCTTCATGACTATTAACATCAATAATAGGTAACCAACAAATATTTGGTTCCTCTCTTACCATGTTTCGAAGACTCATCTCAGCCAATCCCAACACACGTGATGAACGAAATTTTCTATGCTCAGCTACTTTAAACTTAAGCATAGAGTGTAAAGGGTTTTCAAGAGAGACCGTTGTCTCATTTTTCATACCAATATCAAATTGAAGAGATCTGGCAGCATGATGATCTTTCGTACAAAGTACTTGAGTATCATCTAAGTAAACCTTAACATAGCATGAACACATTGGTAAAAAATCTCGAATACTTAAAATACGAATTCGCATTGGTGCAGTTCCAGTTTCTGGACCATATGTATCCGTAAGTTGTTTAATAAGTCGTTCTTCTGCACCTATATTTTCACCAAGAAGATAATCAACACGATGTAATTGTGATGGATCATAACGATTAAAAAGTGCTTCCACACGTTGACGAAAATATTGTTCTTTCTTTGCAGGTACAGCTTCTTCTTTTAATCCAACTTCCAGAGAAAATACTTCAATAGATAGTATTCCAATCATTTTTGCATTTGTAGTTAATGCATCTTTATATACCTGTAAACTACGTTTACATACATCACCACATTTAATATTTTTTACAGACATTGAAACACGACCAACTTCAATATCTTTACCATCCCTCTCTTCTACTATAACAAAAAGAACTTCATCCTTTTCAGGACTACATATGGAGATATCAAAATCATTATTAAAAATAAAATCTTGCGTATAACGTACAGATGATGAACGATGAAATTCTGGACCAATTATAGTAATAACTCCATAAATTTTAGGAAGATCTTGTTTAGTTTCAAGATGAAAACGTTGAATTCTAAGTTTCATCATACTTCGATGAGGTTCAGGTCCACATTCACGTACCCATGTTCTCATAAATTCATCTAAATCATCAATAGATGCTACTATAGGATCTAAACGATGTAAATCATCACGAAGATATCTCCATAAATAATTTCGTACACGAATACGTTTCATTTCTTCACTTCTTTCATTTATAGGATGATCACTACCATAACTTGGAGAACAAAGTACAATAGTAATATTACCACTGTAACATGCATCTCCTGTACCTGCTGCATAAACAATAGAATGGGTACGTTCTTTTGGAACTCCTCTTTGTAAACCATTCAAAGAAATAAGACATTCACCAATCTTATGTTTAGAAGAGTAAACAGCCAAAGATATATTATCAGCTTTGGGATTTCCCAAAGTCATTTTATATGTTTCATTAATATTGGCTAATCTATGATATGGAACCATTTTAGTAACTTTCTTCTGTCTACCTGCTATAATTACAACATAACAGGTTTCATATACCACAGGTGAAGCATTTCCATCTACCAAATTAGCCACAGATTTCACAGTTATCTCAAAAGAAGCTGGATCACTACCAGGTTTGTGAAATTTCTTACAAAGTGCAGAAAAAGCACCATCATAATCATCCATACATTCACCTACATACCATTCTAAACGATGAAGTTCTTCAGGAGCATTCATTCGAAGTAAAACACGAAGACGTTCACGAAAATCACTTTCTGCAGTTGCTGTAGGAAGATGACGTAATCCAAAGGTATCGGTATAAAGAGATACTAATACAGAACCACAATCATATGCACGTTCAGAACCAGGATGACGTACAAGTGATATCCATTGACGTCTTTCTTTACCACGGATAATATTCATTATTGAAAAAACACACTGTCCCAATTTTTTCCTTCCTGAACTTGTGACAGCAACTACTGTCAATGTTACTTCTTCTGTTTCAGGATTTGTTACTTCAAAAACAAACTCATCATTAAAAGGTGGATTGGCATTATTGTGAATAATAGGCGTCTTACCACGACCATATGAGGTTTGTACGGTAACAAACGTTGAAGGTGGATGTTGTGTTGCACGAGAAAGAGGTAATAAATTTCTAATACCTTCTACTCTTACTCGTATCTTCTTTTTATTATTATGATGTCCTCCTCCGGATTCGGATCTTGGTACACTTAAAACTGGTACTCGAGGGGTATAGTATTCATCATCTTCAGACATAGGGCCAGTTCGTCGTGCATGAGGTACAGCATATGGAGGTAAGGTATCATTGTAATGAAATGGATGTGTTCTCTGATAACCATTACTACCGCCATTATGATGCGCACTGGAACTGCGGCTATTCTGTTGTGAGTGGTAATGATTGTCGGTGTTGTAGTAATCTTCCTCCGTGAAGGAGTGGACTTGACGATGATGACGATGAGAATGGCGTTGAGATGATCGGTTTCTTCCCGAACTGCTCTCACGTGTGGGATGCAAATGACGTGAGCGATGTGATCTTCGTACTGAACTGTGAACCGAATGTGAGGGACTTCCCGAAGATGAGTGAAGAAACATATGTTGATTATTCATCCTGAACTATGATAAGGAATATATATATATATATGACAGTCAACTCTCTTTTGGTTGATTTCCCTTTGTTTTCTTTGTTTTTCTTTGTTTTTTCTTTTTTTTTTCGCTTACTTTCTTTCCCTTTGTTTCTGTGTTTTGTTTTGTTTTATTATTATTATTATTTTGCTGCACTGTTTCTTTCTTTCACTTCTTTTTTTTTTCGTCGTCTTCTTCTCTTGAGTTCTTCTTCTTTTCCTTCCTATTTCCCTTTCACGTAGTGAGGTTCAATATATTACACGTGATTCGATCGACGTAGAGCAAAACAAAAAAAAAAACAAAAACAAAAAGAACGGATGGGGATTTATATAACTATAGACTGTGCCTATGGAATTCGTGTTTAAATCCTCTTTGCCTTTTTTATTTTTTCTTTCGTTTTTTTTTTTTTCTTTTCTTTCCTTTTTTCTTCCTGTTGGTGTGGTTGTGATTGTTGTAGTTACACTTATTTCAAATCCTTGCGCAAAGACCCAATAACGATGATGAGTGTGTTGTGCTGTAGCGAATGACAATAATCCTCAGAGGAAGTTCTGTGAAGCCAAAGAGAGAATCGTACAGAAAATACTCTTTTTTTTCTCTTTCACAGACAAACACAGTCTTTCTCTTTCTTTCCTTCTCTTCTAGCTTTCTATTACTCTTTATTTGCCCTTTTATTTTATCTTTATTTTCTGTTCACCCTCCACTTTCCCTGAGAGTTTTGAACAAACTACACGCTTACCGTACCAAGAGAAGCAGAATCAAAGACAAAAAAAAAAAAAAAAGAAAGCTGAAGAAAAAAGAAAAAAGAAAAGAAAGCAGAACAACAAGAACAATAATAATAATATTAATGACAACAGGACGAAAATAAAAATAAAAATAAAATAAAAAAGATTTTTAAACTATGGTAGAAAACAATAAATTTAAGAAAGACTTCGCAAACATGGATTAGGAGAGGTATCGGTGGTGGTGGTGGTGGTGATGGTGTGTCCTCGGCAAATAACTTGAAGAAAGAGGAGAGAAAAAAGCAACTATAGACACACACACACAGACACGGGGAGAGAAAGATAGATAAATAGATAAAGAAAAAAAAAAAAACATAAAAAAAGATAAAACACCTTTTTTTTTTTCCTTCCCACAACACCTGAACTGTAAGATTCATGTGTCATGCAGGATTAAGGGGAATAGGCACTCCTTGCCTTCGTAGTTGAGTACAACAAATACTGCAAAAAAAAAGAAAGAATATATATTAAGAAAAAAAAAAAAAACAGAAACACTCATTTTAACAAGAAAAAAACATCATGGCAAATATATTCTTGTTATTCTTGTCCCTTTACATTATTCAGAGAGTCGTACGTAAATATACGTGGAACGCAAGAACAAAACAAGAGCGTATAGTGTTTCAACAATAATAAAAAAAACGAAAAACAAGAAAAAAAAAACACAGAGACACAGAAATAGACGCAATAAACATACATTCACACACTCAAAAAAAAAAAAAACTCAAGAATTAACAAATGTGCTTCTCTTTTGTTTATGGTGAATGTAGTACAATATCTGATACTTCTTCTACTGGTGCTTCTGCGGGGGGAGGTTCTGGAAAATTCTCTACTTCCGGTCCCCAACGCTCAATGAGTGCATAGAGTAGATTAGGAACTTCAGTTACCCAGGTTTCTTTTGCGACATATCTCTCATAGAATGTATGGTGAATGTCTACCAAGGAGTTTGCGTCATAGTGTTTCAGCAAGGAGTAAATACGATCCAGATAGTACCGCACAAAGGCACGATTGACTCGTCTGGAAGAGTTACCAAATAGCGGTATGGTAGTTGGATAAGATTCAAAGAGTGGAGCCTTGAGAGAGAATGTGAGAGTCCCGGCGAGATCTGCCTGTACCTCCTTCCGCCGCTGCCGCTCCTTCACGATGGGGACGGTGATGCTCTCCTCCATATCGTACAGCTGCGGGGTGAGGAGGGCGCGGAGGGAGAGACGCACCCGACAGTCCACCGCCGCCTCGCCGCCCTCGCCCAGCACCCGCAGGAGCAGCGGGCCGTCGTCCGGCGCAAAGTCGACCCGCAGCGGGGGGTACTTCGCAGCGCCGGCCGGCCGGGGGCCCGCGAGGGCGACGAGTTTTCGCTCCGCCGCCTGCGAGACGTCGCCGCGGACGACGGCCTCCACGAAGCGGCGGCCCCGCAGGCCGATGATGAGATCCGTCTCGTGCACCGTGCAGTACACCGTCGCCTGCACGCGGGGGATTAACTGTTGGCGGAGGACGCGGTGCAGGAGGCGGAGATCATCGCTGCGGGTCAGCATAAGATCGAGTTTGCGCAGATCTTTGGGATTGTGCTTGAGCAGCAGCGAGGCCACATCCTCCGAGACCCGCTCGACTTCATACGATGATGGCAAATCCGGGGATGCAGGGACTCCATGAGGGGGAGGCGGCATGTCGACTTGTAGACATAATCGTCCCATGAATACACCTTTTGGGGTAAAGAGGTGAAGGTATTTCTTGCTTACACGACCTCGTGGAAAGTGGGCGAGCGTGAAATCGCAATAACACAACGGAGATGATCCATGTAGTTTCTCTTCTGCAATTTTCATTGTAAAAACGGTTTCTTCTAATCGAATAGAACTATCTAGAGTAAATCCTTCTTTAATACATGTAAGCCTTTCACCCTTTAAAACACCTGTACGTACGACTGTTTTAGAACCATTCATTCTAATTTTTATGTACACTTCTTCTGTTGGAAAATCACAAAATCCAAGCAGTAAAACATATACAGGGTCTCCACGTACTAAACTTGTATAACATACTTGACTTTCTCCTGAAGAAGTTGCGTTTAATTCATTCTGTTCTTGTGCTTCTGCGATAATAGAAGGTAACATATGCATCTCCTGTGGAGGAAGACGTGCCATTTCACGCTCTAAACGTTCATAGACGATACCATCATTATTATTTCGATTATTATCCGGTGAAATACCAAAGTCATTAGTAAAGAAAGAAACTTCAACGGCGCCATTAATTGAAGCATTTTTGGTATTTGCTTGATTTACAAGTGGAAGTTTAAGTTGAGTTTCTTCTCCACGAATTATACTTTTAAGAGGAATTACCGTTCTACCAATCTCACTACTAAGTGCTGACTCTTTTTTAACTACAAAGACTATCAATTGTACCTCCTCCTTATCTGGTAAACCTATTTTCATATCAAAAGTTTCCATAAAAACATGCTCTCCTGTTCCCCAGGCAATATTAGTTTTAAAATGTTGAAGTCCAACTTGAAAAATACAAAATGGGTATGAAGCTTCTACTGAAAGAAAGTAACATCGCATCACTTTAACTTTAAGATGATAGTTACCTGGTTCTGGACCATATTTTTCAGTTAATTTTTTTACGTATTCTTCAACATTAAGTGTTGTACTAAATTTAACATCCACAACATGTAGTTGTTCACGTATATAATAATAATAATAATCTCTCAATCGTTCATATGAAGATCCATTATTCTCACAATATGGTGAAACAAGGGAACCAAAATTATCACTTAAAAGTGAAATAGTGATATAACCTGTAGGTATAGCAGTAGGAAGACCTGCATTTTTCACAATAAAATGAGTTCGTTCTTGTATTGCATTTTGGTGTAAATCTGCAAGTGATAATACACATTCTCCACATTTTTGTATTCCATTTTCTTCAATATGTACTACTACACGTAACGTTTTTATTAACGGTCGTGAAATAGTTAACATACAATCTTCATTAAATATGAAAATACCATTTGCCCCTTGTACAGATCTTGTACAATAATGAGTTTTTTTTTCTTCTTTAATCTTTACAAAACATGTACCAGATAAAACAAGTTTATTATTATAGTACAAATTTCTTAAAGTTTTTATAGATAATTTAACATTTGCTGTTATCTCTTCATTACTTTTTGGATTATATTTACTTAGAATACCTTTTATTAGTTCATTCTCTCTTAAAGAGTATTCACCAACAAACCATTCTAAACGATGAAGTTCTCGAGGGGCATGCGTTACAAGATATATTTGTAAAGACTCTGCAAGACGACTTTCTGCCGTAACAGAGGGCATATAATCCAAACCAAAATTTTCACCTAATAAAGTTAAACAAACAGTACCACGTTGAATAGCCACTGGACGGTTTGGGGCAACTACCAAAGATACATTTCGAGTTCGTGGAGTATCTTTTTGTATATTCTTCATGGAAAGTAAACAGTGTCCTAGACATTTTTTTCCATAGGGAGTATCGGTAACCACTGTAATGGCAAGATAATCTTCACTTGGATCAAAAACGGGAAATACAAATTCTTCATTATATCTAGGGGATACTGTAGAAAAGGCTCTTTTTGTAAAATGTGATTTACATAATGTAGAAAGCATTACATATGGACTTGGTGGAGTTTGTCTACTATCATCAAGATTATCACAATACAATAAACGTACATGTAACCATTTACCTCCTGTTCCTACTGGTTTTAATGTATGTTTAGATGGCATGATTTGATCAGATCCCGTAAAAGAAAGAGATGGGGTAAAACATTGAGAAGAAGTTCCAGTTTTAGATAAGGAACAAAACTCATGAGCAGAATGAATACCTTCATCCATAAGATTTAAAGGTTCATGAGAGATTATATCCCGTTCACCTGTATGAAGAGAACTCGCATCACTAGATACTGTAGAATTATTACGTGAAAGACGTCCTGTTTTGTGAAGTTGAGCCGTTACACGTGCGAGTTTACTACGAAATCCACCAATACGAGAACGTAATGTACTATTTTGTCGTCTTGAACGTCTTTCCATTATAAGAGAAACAACATTCGCACTTTGTTGTAAAGCATCATCAGAGTTATGATATGTTCGGGCTTCATCTCGTAAATTAAGATCTTTTATTACGTAGCGAACACCAATAATACCTTCACGAGTATTATCTGGTTTAACAAGAGGAATCCATTCATGATATTGATGTTCTAATTCTTTATTTCCTAATGGAATCACCACACGGCCTACTTCCTTATCTGCACCAAGATCATACTTATCCATCACCACAAGTGTTAATTGAGCTTCATTTAATCGATCTATTTGAAATTCAAAAAAATCAAAAAAATCAGGTTCTGTAGAGTCTTTCACTACATGAGTTTCATATCTTTCAATTCCCATCTTTGCTGCTACATAGGCATTCATACTAAATCCAAAACGTGTACGAAGTTGACGACATCCCAATACAGTTACATACACAGCAAATGTATTATCTTCTTCACCATATTCACGTGAAACATCTCTTAGAAATCCTTCAATATCAAAAAGTGTATCAACTGCGGTATTCACAAGATGTAATTTTTCAGGTACACGTCTATGTACATAACGTCGTAAACGTCCAGCATATAAATGCATAGCTGCCTCATCTACCGCATATGGTTGTCCAAGTTGTTCACTAAATAGTGATATACCAATCATTCCACTCAAATAAGCATCAGTTGTACCGGCAGCTCCCACTAAAAAAAGCATTCGTTCATTATGTACACCACGTTGTATCTTTAAACAGGTTACATCTACACGTCCATAAACTATTTCTTCATGATTCGCTTTAAGTACCTGAAATTTAATCATATCCGTTTCACGAGCTACATCAAAGACAAAAGTATCTCCAAATAATGTTCGAGAATTTGCAAATACTCGTTTTGGTTGTGTTCGTACTACTTGATCACCCATAGTTAATACTACTACTACTTCTTTATCATCAAGATCTGTAATAGGATCAAGTTGTAGTGAATGTAACTCTCGAACACATACCCATAATTCTATGGTACCTGGTTCTCTACCATAATGATATTCTAATTCTCCCATCAAGTCCGATAAGTTATCTAGACGAGATTTAATAAGAAGATCTACTTGTTGAATTCGTCTAGGATCATACCTATAAAAGAATCGAGTTAATCGTTCATAATATCCATCAATATGTTCTGCTACTTTCATTGGAATTAATCCAAATTCAATTGGTTTCATCGTTAAATAAACCATTCCAGTTAAAACAGGTGTAATTTCATTTGTTTGACGAAAAACAAATACTGGTCTAGCAGAAGCATAATCTCGTACAAGAGTAGAAACTCGAATCTGTGATCGACCAACTTCTTTTTCTCTTGATGTGGGAGGAAAATAATAAACCATCACATCTAAAACAGAGGAAGATGGATCTACAATATCCATTTCCACTAATCCAGCTGGTCTTCCCCAAACAGGATTAATTGTAAAAGGTCGTGTTGGTGTAATAAACTCTTGACCAGAACTACGAATAACTACCACTACATTAGATGGAAGATACATTGTAGGACGCGTAAGATTTGCACAACCTTCCACAACAAGACTAAGTTTATAGTTTGGAGGTTCATGACATTTGTACATTTTACAAAGATTCATCATTAAATCATCAAAGGTTGCATATATATCTCTTGTTACTTGAGAATCTACACTTGGTGATATAGGAGGTATATTTAATAAACCTTCTGTTGCTGATTGATCCCCTTTTACAGATGCTAGAAGTAAATCTACATCCGCTAAACGACTCTTATCCCAGCAGAGAAAAAAACGTGTTAAACGACGTAAATATCTTTCTTCTTGAGTATCACTAATAGGATTTGTAATACCCCCTTGAGTATCTGTTTTTAAAGTGATATTAACTATTCCTGACATGCCTGAATTATCTTTTGATGCTAGAGGAAAATCTCTGGTTCTTTTTTTCCCTTGAACTAAATTTTCAATAGAGAGATGAGAAGAACCTAGAAGTTCTTCCTTCTCATTACTCCCTGAGGAGAGGCAATTAAATGCAAGTACATCAACTACAGCTAGACGATGTGTATTACCTACAGTGAATGTTTCACCAAACTCAGATATAAAACTATCTCGTTTAGTTTTTGTATGAAATTTGTAGACTCCATCCACAACTACTCGTATGCGTAAGTTAACCGTTTCAAGTCCAGGAGAACGAAATAAGTGACATTTATTTACCGTAATAAAAAGCTTTCCCATTTCGCATAGATATATATATATATATATATATATATATACGGTTATCTGCTATGGCTCCTGTTATCAAATATATCTTCCAGAAAGTATTGCTGATCTAGAGGACCAGGTAGAGTATTCCCTAATCAACCGATCAACTACTTTCAAGCACGCTGCACTTGATGATGAGAAATAACACAAAAAGAACACATACGCAAACACAAAAAATAAAAAAAAATAGAGAAATAGAAAAAGAAAAAAAAAGAAGAAAAAAATAATATGAACACCTCAGCTGAACCAAAAGAAGAGGAAGAAAGAAAAAAAAAAAACGCAATTGATCTTCAAAACATATCACGAACGGTAAAAACAAAGAAAAAAGGGGTAATATATATATATATATAACGTTTAAAGATAATTTTTACTCGATGTGTTCTACCACCCCCCAGGGTGATAAAGATATCAACAAATCTGCTGGTTCCCATTCTTCACATGCTGCTCCAACAGCTGTATCATTTCTAACTCTGACTTCAATGTTCTCTGTAATAGTTTTCTACGAACCTGATCAGAGTCCTGTGTTAAATAAGTTTCAGCAGCTTCTAACTGCAGAAGTACAGCCTCTGCTCGCATTGAAAGGACTCTCAAGATTAACTCTACAACCTGATTCGTTCGCTCAACCTGCCAATCACGATTTATAGTATGAACTAGCTTTTCAAATTTAGCAGATTCTACCGTCATAAGGTAAAAGACATTAAACAGAGTTTGAATTTCTTTCATAGTAGTCTCTGGTAATATACCATTACTATCATCATTATCACCATTTGATTTATCATCATCTTTAGATAAATTTAGACGAGAAATGTAAAAACCTTCATCATAAAGAAGCCCAAGACGTTGAAGCCATTCCACACGTCGTTGAATAGTGTTTGAATTCATTACAAGTGAAGAAGAAGAAGTAGAAGAATTCTTCTCCATTGTAAGAATTGAAGTCATTTCAGCAATGACATCTACAGAAAAACGCAACATATCCTCTTTTAGTATAGAATCTGTGACAAATTGAAATTCAATAGCAAATCTTGATGCACCAATTCGTCCATATGAACAGAATACTTGTTCTCCACGACGAAGATCACGTGTGGTGATAACACAAAAGTTCATAGCATGTTTCCTACCACCTCCACGAATTTCAAATTTTGCATTTCCAGTAGTAGAGTGATTAATAATATCTAAACCAGGAAGTAAGTAAGGACCTTCACGACCTTCAATCTGCTCACGGTGAAAGTTACGTGAGAAGACCTGTGCCAAACACTCACAAAAGAGAGCGAGTGTAGCATGTTCTTCTGGCCAGTATTCTGGGTATTGCCGTATAATTTTCTGTGCGGCCTCCCAACGCTCTGCTAGTTTCATATCACGCAGTTGCTGTGATATTCCTGTCCACCTCATTGAGACTCCCGTTGTTGTTGTTGTTGAAGTGCCAGCAACGTCTGAAGTGAGTCCAAACACCTTTGCAGCTTCTGTATTCTCCCTTGCGGTTACTGCCTCGTAGAAGAAGTGATCTGGCATGCGTGGACATGCTTTCATCCACGACATCCACGGGGACTTTGGCCGCACGGCTTCTGCCATCAGTCGCAGCACCACGTGGAGGACATTGTCTGTGATGTGTGCCTCTTCCAACGCCTTTATGCACGGGGCCTCTGAGCTCTCCGGCCGCGCGTAGGGGGAGATGCTGCTGGCGAGTGGACAGCCCACAACAACAGTGCCTGCGGGCAGTTGTGTGCGTGCAAAGACGCCGAGGCCCATTGTTCGCGTTGGCACGAGAAACGCCACGTCGGGGTGGAGGAACACACCGCGTCGCTTCGCCCACGCGTGAAAGGCGGGCGGAGAGTGGTCGGTGCCAAAGCACAGAGACATCCGCAGAGGAAGAATGAGAGAGTAAAGGAAGAAGGGGATAGGGGAATAAAATGGGAAAGGAAAAGTCCTTGGTACTTGTAAAGAAAAAAGGGGGTAATGAAGAAGAAGAAAAAGAAAATATATATATATATCAAAAGAATAACAAGAAATAATAGTGACAACAGAATGGATAATCCGAGATACAGTGAAGAGGTTTTAATTTGTTGTTGTTGTTGTTCTTCTTCTTTGGGTTATCAAAGAGGATGTGCCTTCTTTTTTTTTTTGTTTGTTTATTTGCATCTTTGCTTCAGTTAGTAACGCTCCTTAGGTTGATTGTCAGAAAAATGACACCCTGTTTAAATGCAATGTGGTCACACCACGGCAACTCTTACTATTGGGTAGTATTGTAAACCGTAGAGAACCATATGCCAAATGGAAATCAAAAAGAAATTCTTAAAAAAAAAAATAGACCAATAATAATAATAATAATAATAATAATAATAATAATAATAATAATAATAATAATAATATAATTACAATATTATTAAAAACAGCAACACAAATACGTGCAAAGGAAAACAAAAGTAAAAAGTAAATGCACCTCTCAAGATATTTCTGTTTTTTGTTTTCTTTTTTCTTTTGTTTTGAATTGATTTCATTGCTGCATTTTTATTCTCTCTTGATGTTTTTTTCTGGTTTTTCGTTTGTTTTTTCTTCCTTTCTTCTTCTTCATCTTATTCTCATCTAATAAAACGCATACATGAGTCCAGCAATGTTACCATCTGGATCGCGACCTGTACAACAGCTGACAGCGAAGTTCACAAGAACTGTTTCTCCTCTGGCGCTACGTGATGTGACTCCCTCTGAAAGGGGAAGCGATAAGTGACAGCGGCGGCAGGAGTCCTTAAACTCATGAACATCACGTTCCCACATATCTGGTGGTTGTTTAGGTGATGCGTACTCATATAGGCGGCGACTGATATCAAAGAATTTGCTGCTAGTGCTATTCAGTGATTTTGCTGTTGGACGAATTTTACCGCTGCAAAGTAGTGACCAAAGAGGTTTTGCAAATACCACATCCGAGTGTGGATCAAGGGCTGCTTGACGAAGTGCAGAAAGTCCCTCATATTTTCCTTCAGTTTTTGTACCTGAATGGGATGCCGCAATTATATCCGACCACTCTGTAATACAAAAACAAAAGTCAATCTGTAATTTCTTTCCAGCCTCCAGAGATGCATAAAGTTTAGAATGCTTAGATTCATATAAAAGTTGTGATTCATCCACTATAAGTGTAGGATACTTAAAAGCTTCACAGTATTCTATAATAATACTTATAATATTATCTACAGTATCATTAGAATGATGTGAATTTTTTACAATTGTAAATCCATTACGCGGTCCACGTACCCCTTCCACATCTTTAACATAACGAGAAAAATCCACACGACACTCTGACATCATTGAACCACTCACTTCAGGTGATAATGCTTGATGTAAAAATTTATTATATGTTTCGCGACAAGCACGGGGCCCTGCAAGTTCAGAAATAATTTTAGGGGTACCAAAATTAACTTTTTCAATAAGCCATCCTTCATCGTGTGGATTTCCAATCTTCATAACATTAACCTCAAAACCACTATCAAGTTTCATTGTAGACTCTTCCGCCAAATTAAGACAAAAAGTTGTATTCGCAAGCATATGTACTTCACCAAGATTAAATTCACGACGCATAGCTGCAATTACAGTAATATCAAAACCAAAGTGAGCCGCAAGGGCACGATCCATTTCTGCTTCACCTTCACAACCTTCTAATATTGAAGCTTCCATAACATCTAGAAGCGTCTTTGGTGCTTCCATAAGGTCTGCCCCTAATGGATTCGTTGGGAGAGCGTTAAACCCAGCACTCAAACGATGTCGATTAAATAAAAATTGCAGAGTAACACGAATAATACGTGAAAAAGCTGTTGTAGCGCCTATTAATGCTTCTCCAGTGCCTTGACGAAATATATAGAGAGTACGAATAGCACATGAATCATCTGGTAGTGTGAATTGCCAAAGAGATGGATGATCCATGTTTTCCACTGGTGTAGAACGAACACTTAATTGTTCTGGAATAGGACAAATCTGTTTATGAATAAGTTTACGCTGTGGAACTCCAGGGTAGGACATCCATCCAAGACAATCCACACCACTTTCTCCTTCTTGCTCCTTCAGATACCAATATCCATCAGAGGTCTGTTCAAGATGAATATAACGCGATACACAACACTCACCATCAAGGTAATCAGGGCTTGGAGAGAAAAAAGGGAAAAAAACATGATTCTGTTCAGCAATACCCACTTTTCCATCATCTCCCACGTACGATATAACGCCAACATGACCCCATGGCATATGTTGTCGATGATATGGGTAAACAATAATATCACCAGGAGCAGGACGACGTTCAGATTTCCCATTTGGATGAGCGTTAAAATTATATGTAACTCCAGTCTCTACGTGTGTTATAGTAGTCATTTTAAATATCTCACTCGCACGTCCACAAGAACCAAATATACATCCAGTTGTGAGAAGGAGAAAGCGTCGGGCAAACTCCACACATTGGTAGCGAAACCCAGTGTACACTACATAATCCACATAATTGCTCTCACCACTGAAAAATCCATCATCACGATTAGAACTCGCTACAACGCCTCTAAAACTTCCTTGTTTCTCACCATACGGTAAAGGACAACCACTTGGTTTAGCTTTATCCATGCTCATTATCTACAAAAAAAAAAAAAGAAACAAACAAAAAAAGAGCAAAATAAAAAAGTACATTCATCTAATAGTGAAGGCAGAACAATATATATATATATAAATGGAAACAATCCACAAGGACATGACAACAACTACAAATTAAAATTAAAAAAAAAAAAAACCTTCTATATCCATAAATAACGGGTGTACCTCATTTATCATTTATATTTTTGTACTATTGCATATGTGTGGACATGTACGTACTTGTGCGATATCTTGCAAGACTCTACACACACCGCAACCGTAGAGCTTCAATCATACGTACAGTGACAGTGAACCAAAGAAAAAAAAAGAAGGTATACGATCACAGAATAACGGCAACAAAAAAAAAAAAAACCCAAAAAAAAAAAAAGAAAACACGAAAGGAATGTCTTCTCTTCTCTATTACATAGATGAATTAACAATGAAACACAAGCACATAAACACACATATACACACAGGTAAAGAGATACAGAGATACAGAGATACAGAGAGAGAGAGATCTTATTACANAAAAAAAAAAAAAAAAATGGAAAACAAGAAAGGAATCTCTTCTCTTCTCTCTTCCATAGTTGCATTAACAATGAAACACAAGCACATAAACACACATATACACACAGGTAAAGAGATACAGAGATACAGAGATACAGAGAGAGAGAGATCTTATTACATATATACACCGACAAGATATACACCCCTTTTTCCTCCTTCTTCTTCCTCTTCTCTCTCCCATGGACTAAAGTCTCCATCCCATAGACATGGAGAGTCGCTGCATCATGGCTTCTGCGGCGCCTACTTGTTTCGGTTTCCGCGGTCTTCGATCTGGCGGGGATATCTGGCGTAGATACGCACTGAGATCTTGCAGTGCAGATGTGAGAGACGACGGTGCGGTGCGATTAGCGGAGCTCACAACTGTGATATCGCATGTGCCGACGAACACACGACGATCGGGGTGTCGACGTCGTACTTTATCGAGTTTAACGGCTGTTTCCAAGTCTGCGAGTGTTGGAGTGCCGCGGGTGCCGCTGCGGTAGTTGTTAAACACAATCACCAGCGGGAGTGTTTTGAAATGATTCGTAATAGCGAGAAGATATTCCGCAGCATCTTTATAAGTTCGCCGCTGCATACTGTCTACTACAAAGATAAGAAAATCAATAGACTCCATGCGTTCCACGTAGTAGTGCCAATTCTCACGAAAACTTTCACGGCCGCCAAGTTCATTCATAGCAAACACCCATTCCTCAAATGCCACTACCCGCTGCGATAAACCAACGGTGGGAATGGTGGACTGTGCATATCCCTTGACAGAATTAAGAATAAGTGTCTTTCCAACACTTTCTAATCCCGCTACAAATCCAACACGCCACGCTAAAAGAGCAATTCTCGCCTCGCGTGGAAGCAAATAATTAAGGGCTACATGTGAAACACACTGAAAATCATATATTCGATCAGATAAAGTTCGAGGGACATCTTCATTGGATTGAGAAATCGGTTCATTTCCCGGTCCTGAAGATATTTTTCGTCGCTCTTGCGCATACTGCTGCAACAACTCTCGTAGACCAACCTCATTCTCTTCATATTCACACAATTCATACAATAACTGTACAGCCGCATCCAGATGTAAACAACTTACCATTTCACCTCCAATCGTTTGACTATACATAGCACGTAATCTTCGTAAATTAGCAATAAGTACACGTGCTAAATCATGTTTTCGAATTCGTCGTCCATCAAATGCGGCTTCAAGAGCATTAATAGCCTCACGAATAGCATCTGCACCAATCTTAAGATTTACAGATGCACCTTGAGAATCATACACTATATTTACTACTCGATGAATATCAAGAACTTGTGTTTCTGCACTACGTTCAAACGCCACGGCATCTCCTAAATCATCACTAGGAGATGAAGACCATGAACTGGAATCATCACCATTTATTTGTTCTACTGGTGTTTGAGTATTGCATAACTCCCGTTCACACCAATCTTTAAATGTAGTGACGAGTACAGATGGAAAAACAAATAAATTACGTGTTATTCCATATGCTTGATTTATTTGTGGTACAGGTCGGTGTCGACATATAACATCCATCATGGCTTTTTGAGTTGATTCTACAGAACATACAATGCAATCTGTAAGAATACCTTGTCGAAATCTTAATTCTGGTAATGTCGTCATACTTCCTGGTATAAAAGGAACAAAATCCACCACAATAGAGTATACATTTTTAAACATTACAGCAAAAGGATATACTGTACCATCAATTGGGGAATCTATTCCAGACATTAATTGTTCAACGCTCTCTAATCGTTCCAAATAAATATTAGTACAAGAAGTAACTAATTGTGATAGGTTACGTTGTTTTAATGGAACATTTATTTGTGCACAAGAAAGAAGAAGATTTTCCCATAAAAATTTTACACTTTTTTCTCCTCCTAATACTTGAGAAAATGCAGACTTACTCTCACTTAATCGTCTGCTAAGATCTGCTAAAAGAATAACTTCCACAAGTTGATCACGTAATGTTTTACTTACTACACGCGGTTGACGGTACGCTTCAAGATATTTTGAAGTTATTAATACCGCACGTCGACAACGTCTTTGATATTCTACAGTTGTTACTACAGAAAGATCTGGAGGTCTATCCGCATTTACGGTAACTTCATCAAGAGTAATAGCTATACCAGAAACATAATCACCAATGTATTTAATATATTGCACATCATCATTTGAACCTTGTGAACGTTTAAAATCTTCAGCAACTTCTACAATTTGCATTTCTACAGAACGTAAGAAATCTTCATGCACATAACGATGTAAATATCTTCCTACACGTTCAGTATCCCGCATATTTTGTCCCCATTGAAACGTAAAGGAAAAACTTTTTTTAAGTCCAAGTAATTCACCAATTTCACGACATACAGCCATACATTTTGGGTTTGTACTAATCCATCCTTCAATACGTGGATCACGCCAAACATGTGATTGAGTCATGTCTATAATATCAATAGGATCAGCAACATTAAAGCGAACATGTCCAAATATATCACGAGTAATTAATACTTGAAGTACAAGACTACTTGTACTAGGATCATATTGAGGTCCACAACGTGTTTGAGAATCTGCAGAAGCTACTGTAACTATATATCGACGTGGAATTTCCATATCACCACCATATGTATGAACTACTTCTGAAATGGTTTCAATAGCAGCATCTACTGCATCTACTAAATACTGTAGAATATCATCAGGAATATCACTTAGTCTCGCAACGGTAAGAGTTATACTTACACCAAGTAACCGTTCTGCTGTTAATGTTCGTCGTTGCGCAACACGCAAGACATTTTGATCATGATTATACGCTGAATTCCTTTTAATAAGTCTCATTATAGCATTATACCATCGGTCTCTATCTTCTATTGAATTCAGTCGAAATTTAATATTACGACCTTTTCGTAGCTGTAAAGCAAGGCCAAAAAATTTATTTTGTTTTCCACCAGAGAACACTACACCGCGAACATCTGAAGCATCAAATTTCGTTTGTGGAAAAGGTTCCTGATCGTTCTTGTACACTTCAAGACGAGCCTGAGACTCATCAACTACCCAAAAACGTTTCTTGTACATCATAAAGGATGTTCTACCCTTTTCGTATGCAGAACGCACAACACCCATGACATTTCCCTCTTCCTGCTGTGCTTGCTGCTGATCCATCTCCGTGCAGCAACGCCAAGGTTCACAACAGAAAAAACAAAAAAAAAAATAGATATATATATATATATACTCTACGTTTGCCTTGTTATTATTGAAGTTAAAATAAATATCAAACAAAAAAAGAAAAAGAAAAAAAAAAGGATGCCAAAATACACAAAGTTCCAGAGAGAGAAACAATAATAATAAAAAAAAAAAAAAATACACAGAGGTTAGCAATAAAGAAGAATTATTTTTATCTGCAACTGCAGGATTCACATGCGTACCTTGTTAACACGCAGAAACACAAACACAAAAACACACAAATCCAACTGAGCAAAGAAGCGCAAGGATACTCCAAGGGAGTCTTTCCTTCTTTTTTTTTTTTTTTGTTTCCTTTTCACAGTGGTAGAGAAAGACACAAAGAGGAGAAAAGAAAGAAAAGAGATAAATAGTCTTCCTTTATATTTTTTTCTCCCTCCTCCTCCCTGTGCAATTTCCAATTCTCTTCCCCATCTGCTTACGCTTTCCTCTTTGCAAAGAGTCTTGTGCGACGCTTCGCCGGCTGCACAAACTCCTGTACCGCCTTCAACGTCTCTTCCGTTGCGTACGTCGCCTCAAACCGCCGCCACTCCGCCACGACGGGGTTGAGAAGAAATTCCCCCCAACGCCGTCGTTGTTGCACCGCGTCGAAGCCGGCATTCTCGTCCATACCGCCGAGTTGTTGTTGTAATGCCGATCGCTCCCGCTCCACCATTGTGCGGAATACTGTACGCATCCAATCCACACTCGCTGCATCATACACACCATTGCGTTGAGTGGGGACGATAAGAAATGAGGCAACGGCACTCACCGCCTCTGCAAAGCGGGCAACCGCTGGGGCGAGAACATCTGGTATTCGCTCCGGTGGTGGAGAAAGAACTCCACTGGTCGCCTCCGCCTTTTCCCTCCAGCGAAGTGCCTCATACTTATAATCATCCCATACAGAGTCTAGCAAGTCACGATATAACTGCAATAGGGCCTCTTTCTCTGTGCTTTCTTTAGCTACAGTATTATTATTGTTATTTTTATTATTCTGTAATTTCTTCTGTTCAGCCCGAATCATTCGTCGTTTCATAGCCAAACGACGTGCCCATGCCTGATCTACTTTACCGAGTACTTCATAGCGATCCGACATGGATTGTGCAGCTCGTGCAGCAGCAGTGAAGGATCGAATACAAGCAAGACGTAAAGCATCTGCTCGATGAAATTGTTCTTCTTTTTCCTCCATTTTTGCATACCCTTCCCATAGAGAATAATCTTGTGGAAATTGTTTAATAGCACTTTGATAAATCTCACGACTCCGTTGCATACAGTCACTACGGCTTAACTCACCAGCTACGCATGCCTTTTCTTCAAGTAGCAAAGCTGCTTCAAACACATCAGGACAAGCTGAAATATGAATAGCAGCACCAAGAATCTTGCGACCCTGCGCGTATGCACCATGACGCTGCTCAAGAGCGGCAGCCTCTATCCATAATTGTGGACATGATGCCGTAGTAAATGGAAATTCACGAATACAAGTAGCTAAAGCTGTACGTGCAGCATTAACATCATAACATTCTACACGACGTGCATATTCTATTACTAGAAGAGCCTTTCGCTGTGCTGCCAGAGGATTTTTTACACCATTAATACGGATACCAATTGCTATTTCTAGACACTTCAATGCTTCTTTCCAGAGTGCTTCCTCATTTGTATCAATAATCATATTGTCATTGTTATTATTATTACCGTTATACTTCTTGCTACTCTGAATTGCAGCATCACGTAGGATAAGATACTGAGATACATGCGCGTCAAAGTCTGTAGGATCACGGAGAATTCGTTGTTGATACATTGCTTTAGCAACCGCAACCGCAACAGTTTCATAATTTGATCCATCTCCGTAAAGACGTTCAAATCGACTATAGGCTGCGAATACCTTGTCTAGAACAGAAGCAGATTTACAATCCCGTAATAGTCGATGATACACATCTCGTGCTTCTTCATATTTTTTAGAACTCACAAGAGCTTCTGCTAACGCCAATGGAATTCTGCAATCCTTTTCACCATTAATATACTCTTCTGGAAGTGACTCCATTGCGGTCATAAAAACCTTAATCGCCCTATCTGCAGAATTTAAAACATTTAATTCAGTCATTCCATAGAATAACCATTCCTCCACAGTAGCATATGTTTCCACATATCGACGCATCACATCTCTACACGCCTCATTACGTTGACATTGAGCCTCAAATAACACGAAAAGTTCCCATGCGCAATGTGGTGGTGTTGGTCCGGATAGCCAACGATTAAAAATATCCCGCACTTTACTATCCTGTCCTGCTGCCTGTTCAAATACTAAATACTTTAGCCATAGATCCGTAGCGGATGGTAGGGCAGTAACTCCACGATCCCACACTGCCCGTGCGTGATTAACAAATCCGTGTTCTTCTTCTAACTCTGCGTAGTCACGCCAAAGTGCAGGAGAAGTACCATGGATGGCAACTGCCCGTTCCAACACACTGCGCATACGAACGAAATCTTTTTGCTGCGCCTCCCAACGGGCGTACTTCACCCAATTTCCAAGAAAGCTGTAACCACGTTTAACTCGTTCCTCTAATTCGGCCCGTGTCTTTTGACGATACAAAGCAAGTTCTTCCGCACTGTTAATTACAACTTTCGTACTATCGTTTCCTGGGTCTGTTAGGCGTTGCATATCTTGTGCCTGTTCAATGAGTTGACTTGCGGTGAGTTGTGTAGTCGCCGCACGGGCATCACGGAAGACAGAGCGACGCCGCAGCGCAGCATCTGCGGGACCCATGTACTCCCTATTGTGTTTACCACGTTTCATCGTGGTCTATTTATGAAGGAAATAAAAAAGAAAAATAAAATAAAATAAATAAGAGAGAACAGAATTTAAAAGAAAAAAAAATAAGAAAAAAAGAAGAAAGAAAGAATAGATACCATAAGAAAAAATATTAAATATAAATGCAGTTATGCTCATCAATGAAAAAGTTTGTAAAGGTAACTATAATTTCATGATGCTGAGCGATACGGCTCTCTGCACTCATGCAATAATAATAATAAAAAAAAAAAAAATCGCATGATTAAGAAATATCTTCTCTTCACCCTGATTTCTTTCTTTCCTGCTTTCCTGCTTTTCTTTTTTTTTCTTTTCTTCTGTCTTTTCTTTTTCTTTCTTTTTTAAATGCGATCATTCACATGACCTTAACACCTCATTCTGAGACCGTCTATCTCTCTTTCAAATGACAAGACGTGCTTCTAGTTCATACCATCACGTTTCTTCACAACTCATATATGTGATTTTCTTTTCTTTTTTTTTTTCTTCTTCACTCTTCCTCTTTTTCTTCATGTTTCCCTTCTTTCATTGAATGAACCTTTCCTCATTTTCTTTCCTTTTTTTTTCTTTCGTTCTTTTTTTTTTTTTTTTCTTCCCTTCTTTTTTTTTCTTTTTAAATACGCTACGCCATCTTCAACTTGTTTCTCTTTAATTCCTCAAAGGCCCGCAAAAATGCCTCGGCCACAGACCTTGCCTGTTCAAGAGAGGGATGCTCCAGTAAAGATGGAGTCTCCAGTAGTTCACGCGCCCTGCAGGCCATTGGATCAAACACTCCAGCCGTCATGGAGGCATCGCAGAGTTCATCACTCCTCTCACTAGCGTACAAAGCGTCCATGAGAACAGTCGTCCCAATGCGGAGACTATCTACCAATGGTACCCATGGCTGAGCAGCAGTAACAGTATCATGGCAAATATAGTTATTTTTGTCCATATTACTGCTATTTTTATCAGAACTATCTGCAGCATTTAATGAAGGTTCATCATCTATTTCTTCATTCTTTATTCTTTTAGAATCCATTGTTAACATTCGTTTATGAAGCAGTGTTTCAAAAACTTCAAGTAATGCTTGCATTGCCTCATAACGATTTAATCGTTCAAGTGCACAAAGGAGAGCTGGTAGTGCCTTTTCATAACTATAAGTTAAAGCTGCTATCACAGTATTTCGCAAAGGACCAAACCTATTAGATGGTGAAGAAACCTCTTTACAACCTTCAATCATTTCATACCATTCTTCAAGTGCTTCCTCATCCGTTTTGTAATTTGTGCACATCATAAGATCCAATACATGTTCCCGTAAAACAACACTAACATCATAACCGGCCATCTCTGCAAAACGTCGAGCTTCAGTCCAAAAACGTGATTCCATTAGAACTTCAACAAATCTTTTCACCGCAGCTGCATGTGTTGACATTGGTGTATCTTCTATCCATAAATCAGTACAATCCACACGTCGATCTGCTTCCAATAATTTCTTTTCACAAAATGCTTGATAATGACGACGACGCAACCAAGGTAAATATTCTCTTGTTAAAGGTCCTTTAGGAGGTACCACTTGCTCTGGAGCACGTGATGAAGTAGGAGAACCATACGCTGCATATAATGATAAATCCCTTTCTTCCTGTTGAATCTGTAAGGGTGCAGTAGGTGCAATTAACTCAACTGCCGTTACTGCAAGGGCAGTTAATTCAAGCACAATCTCTACAGCACCTGCACGAAATAAAGAACAACGGATAACAGTAGCAAGATCTGTCATCATACGAGCAGCTTGACCATAAGCGTGTCGCTTACAAAGATAACGGTAAAGTCCTATTGCTGAACGCAAACGTGTTAAATCTGCTTGCTTTGATGCCGATTTTGTTGTTAATCGTGCAGTGTAAGCATACCATTTGGATGTGAGAATACTGTCTAAATGAGCACTAGTATGTGCGAGTGAAACAATAATCTCAATAAAATTCTGTGAAGAAGAGGCCAATTCCACCACTTCTCCCACAACCTGCATTACCTGCTCTGTGTACATAGCACTCATATCCAGTTCATCTGCACAATTTAATACTTCTTCAAGAGAAAGAAAGATATCCGTAAAATTTGGTTCATCTAAACTAGCTCGAGCAAGAAACATGTGTGTCTCAAGACGAAGTTCTATAAGAGCTCGACGTAGTCGTGTAAAATCTTTTCCATTAGCAAATAGTACATATTGTTCAAGTTCTCGTAATTCATTTAGGAATAATTCTCGTACTAATGTACTATCTACACTTGAATGATAGGTACCACTTGGATAAATAACACGACGGAGAAGTGCCACACGATACACCTTAGCAATAAGAGAAGTATCCGTAAGCAATAATTGCCATTCCTCTACAGTTACATTATCAAAAGCTGTACGAAGTGTTCCACCTCTGTTAAATACAGCAAGTCCACTATCAAGAATAAGAGGTACAGCTATATTAGCTGGTAGACTTGATAGATGAAAAGATGCTGATAAGCACATGGAACGAATTTGTCCAGAACGTGCTGTTCGTCCAACATCAAGTTCTCGAATAATACGAAAATGTTGTAAACAAGGATAACGACGAGATAAGAGATTACACCATGTTGCACAGGCTCTCATTCCAAGTGCTTTATCACACTCTCGAAGTCGATTAGCCACATGTACTGCAAATATCACATCATTTCCATCATTTTCATCTTCTGTATTAAACTGTAATAATAATTCAAGAACATCAGCTATAACAGTTTCTTGTACATTAGGAGTTATAGTAGCAGTAAAAGGTCCTGCAACTCCTACAGCATGATATGCTGCAGAAAGGAACTCTAAAATAATACGAACACGTGGTAATTCTAGGCTAGTAGAGTATCCTAGTCGAGATCCAATCCATCCAATGTAAGAACAAATGATATAAGCTATCCGAGAAAGTAAATCTCGAGAAATTGTATGTTGAACAAATCTTCGAGAAAAACTACAAAAAGAATTTTGTCGTGAATAAAGTTTAAAGTTTGTTGATGCATGTTTAAGAGCTGTTTTCATCGCTGTATCATCCACAAAACCAGATGGAGCATAACCCTGTAGATGAGCTGCACTGCGTAAAAGTTGAAATCCTCCCAATGTGAGAGCGACTGGAACACTTTGCACTGTACTAATAAGAAGTGCAGCGAGGTTATCTGCACCATCTGCACATGATGCTGCTAATTCCACACCTTCGTCAAATGCCGCAGTATCTGTACAAAGAGGATGATTCACCTCTTCTGAAACCACAGCAGGAACCAAATGAATAGAAGGAAGTGGTAAAGCATTGCGAGTAGCAGGTACAACAGGTCGTCCTACTGCAAAAGCAGACTCCAATAATCGTTCAAGAGGACTCATTTCAGAACTTAAAACATGAGCTCGTACACCTTCTTCTGAGTTTTCAATTAGTACTAGTTCATCTTTTACACAAGTAAGAGCATGTAGAGGACGTGAATGACAAAAGAAAACGTCTACCTTCTCTAAAAGTAAACGAGCTGAAACAACACGTTTATTACGTATTTCTGCTTCCACTTCATCTTTTGCCGTAATTATCTGTAAAAATCCTGACAGACCTTGTTGAGTACTGTGTAGAAGAGAACCAACAGAAAGGGATGAACGTACACAACCATCTTCTTCTGCAACTGCAGACCAAAGAATAGCAAGTTGTTCTGATTTTACAGCAACACATCCCATTGGTGAACTGGTTGCCACAGGTGGTAAAATTGACATGGATTGAGCAGGAGGAAGAATTCCACCATTAGCATTAATAGGAATACGCGACCAAGTACAATGACAAACTTCTTTTCCTCCAAAGCATGTAACAACATGTACATCATCATCTAAGAAAGTAGACCATTGATACAGAACTCTGCAAGAAGAAAAATTTTCCATTGATAAAACACAAATAGAATCTGGGGCCACAGGACGCATAGAACTATCATATAACTCTAATGATCCATTAGAACGAAGAAGAAGAATATACTGTGTTTGTTGAACTGCACTGATAGATAAATAACGACATCCTTTCCTCTGTTTTCCATCCCATGGCCATGATGGAAGCCAAGAGGAAATACCACTGTTGCGTGAAGAATCCTTATTACCACCGTTTTGACTTTTTAAATCACGAAATTCTTCCTCTGTGAAAGTACCATCCTCAACAACTTCCACACGCCAAATGCTAATACCATTGGTGAGTGCAATTACAGAAAGTACTCCATCTGTTACTTTTTCTGGAGCTATACTTGCAAGAATACATGCAGAGACAGAAACTCCAATACTTTCATCAGTTTCATTTTCTCTCCCTGTATTTCCATTTCTTGAAGTCGGACTTCCTGTTTCACTTTCAAAAGATGTAGCCACTTGTGAAAGACGTGAAGTCAGCACCGTCTTTCCATCCGGTACCAATAACAAATGACTGTGTTGATCACTACTTCGCTGCAGTTGAACACGTAAGAGACCCACCTCAAGCATTGAAGTTACCCACGTAAGAGCAAATATCGTCTCTTCCCGAACATGTGTGACACCACAGGCAATAATAGATTCTCGTGGTGCGGGAATCTCCAGAGTCATCTTGCGGCAGCTATAACTGACATCACCGGGTGAATTGTTGCTGGTGAGCAGAATGCGTACTAGCGGTGCATCACGATCTAACCACCAGAGAAGTGTAGCCCGCAGTGATGGAACTGGAATAGATCCGCTGCAAAAAGTATCTTTTCCATAACTTTTAGTAAATGCAGTGACAGATCCCTGTACACTACTTTCATCAATGTGATGCTGCCGTGTTGTGCGCACATGCAGTGCACTACTAGCATCCACCTCATCGAAGAACAGCGTGCTTATCATCTCAGCTTCAGATAGTTCTGTATTAGTCTTATTGGTGGTTTGGTAGTGGGGAGGGAAAGGGAAAAAAAGGCTTTTCTGTGAAACGTGATGTTTTTCTCACGACTAGTTGGTGATCTTTTTACTCACTCGACTGGAACAAAAATTAAAAAAAAAAAAAACCTTCTCCCTTTATCTCTCTTTCTTTCTTTTTTTTTTTTTCGTTTTTGTTTTTCCCCAAAGAAAAAAACAACCACAATACACAGAAAGAAATAAAAATAAAAATAAAAAGAGTCGAGAAAAGCAAGAATAGAAGAATGAAAATTAATAAGAAAGGGTAGAAAGTGGGAAAGGGATGCATATAAGCAAACAATACAGAATCGAAAAAAATATAAAATAAAAAAAAACAACAACAACAACATGAGCACACATTTGAGACGCAAACAAATATTTCACATCCTGCGAGGACAGGAACAATTTTCTGGGGAACCAAGTAAAGGAAGATGGGGGAAGGAATATGAAGAGGCGTAAAAACCCTCCAAGATAGAGAAAATGACTGCGGCAGTGGCAACCACACACATATCTACCACCCCCCCCCCATCCCACAACTGAACGAGACCTTCTTTATATCATGTTGAATACATCGCATATAAGAAACACACAGATGCAAAAGAAAAGAAAAAAGGACACCGCAGATGTATACGGCTTCTAATACACAGAGGATCATACCCCACTTCTTAGTACATAGCACATAGAAAACAGGGAAAATATTACAATTAATATTTTTGTTGTTGTTGTTGTTGGCGTCGTCTGTAACAGACCACGAAGGAATACATCTCCAAGAGCCATCACTACCTCCATCTTGGTCCTAATACCCAGTCATTATATACAAAGTCGTATAATTTACATACATATATATATTATATACTATATATAATATTATTACTATAGTATAAAGAGAATCTATACAAATAAAAATAGCCATCTCTCACTCTTTGCTCTTCTTTCTTTCTTTTTTTTTTCTTATTATTTCTTTTCTCCTTCAATACACTCTTTCGATTCAGGAGAAGGGTTATTGTTACTCTGGTTTGCATCATCATTGTGTCGGCGTTTGACAGTTAAGCCAAACGCCCCAGAGCTCGCACTCTCTACTAATGCTGCACTTCCACTTGCATCGCTTTTGGTGTTACTCGCATGCTTAAGAAGAATTGTACCTGTCTTGCTCCGTATAATATTCTGCTGCAGTTCGAGTTCCCGTCTTACATTGACATAACGCTGCAGAAGCACGTCAAGCTCTCTTTTTCGCGCCCGTTCTAGCTCTAATCGGCGTCGCTCAATTTTAGTATCTAATACTTGACGTTCTTGCAGGTGTTTCTGTCGTAACAGTGCCTCTCGACGTTCAAATAGTTCCACCTTTGCCTGCATGAAACGTTCCGCATCTCTTGCCTCAAGTCGGTCCGCCTGTTGTTTTGTACGGTAGGCGCGTGCGTACTCACGTTGCTCGGCGAGGATATGTTCCACTGCGCGGGCATCCAGGAGTCCACGACTGCACTTTGCGGTACGTGGTGAGAGATCATTCATCTCTTGATAGAATGCCTGCAGCTCCGCATTCTGTCGCTCGAGTAGTGCTGATTCCATATCCAACTGCTGCTCCTCAAATGCATCAATGCGTTGGTTCCATACACGATGGAAAGCCTGAAACTCCTCTCGATGGGCGTCCTCAAGGGCATCCCGCTCCTGTTGCTGCTGTTCTGTGAGTCCCCGCACGTGCCGTGTCTCTTCATCTAGCCGTAAGTGTCGCAGCACCTGCTGGACGAGATCCGCCTCGACGTACTGGGCGCGTTCCTGGCAGGCCTGTCGGTATTCGCGGAGGGTGCGGACGTACTCGGCGGTGTTGGCGTCGTCGCGGTGGGCGTTGGCGGCGAGATCCTCGAGGGCGGCGCGGGCCCGCTGCTCCAGTCGGGCGAAGTGGTCGGCGGGCGGGGAGTCGGTCATCACGAGCGCCTCGCCAGAGTCCGACGGGGTCCCCGACATGGCAGAGAGATAAATAGAGATAAATAGATAAATAGATAGAGTGTGTGTTGAGATGGTTCTCCTTTGGTTTAGTCTCTCCAACTGAACGGACAGAAAAGAGAGAGAAAGGAGAATTAGAAGATGGAAGAGGAGGTAAACCAATCGGAGAATCACAGAGAATGGTGTTGGGTCTCCGCAGTCCTCGGAGGGTATCGCTTTATCCTCTTCTTCCCGCTGTCACCGCAAGACGCACCTGCAACACCAATCAGAGAGGGTGCCTTCTCCCTATCTAATCCTATATATATATGTAGCTGGAGATGATAAGAGATAATAAGAAGAATAAAAAGAAAAAAAGAAGAATTAACTCGAAAGTAAATATTCACACATATACAAATACAGTGTTAGACACATACACAGAGACAGGGAATGATATTAAAAAGAAAGAAATAAAGTGAAAAACATGCGAATATAATAGCCACAAAACAAAAAAACAGGAAGCAGGGGCAAATCAGCATAAATAAAGAAAACAATGTCCCCTATCAACAGTACAGTGGGAACGAATGAATCAACGGGAAAATAAAAGCCAAGCGCAATAAAAGAATGGGAACGAAAAAAAGAAAAAGAAAAAATGAAAACCGAAACAAGCATCTGAAATTTCTAAAAAAAAAAAAAAAAGCATCAACAACAAAACCACTCAGAACATAATTTTTTAGAGAGTATAAATAACTTCGTATCCACTGTTGGAATGGGAATTTAAAAAAAGTGTACAACAGTTTTCTTCTCAAAATACCTTTCTATTGCGTTAACTTTTCTTCCCCTTTAAACATTATTTTTTTTTTTTATATCCTCCTTCTCTCTTTTTTTTTTCTCTTCCGTGTCTTTCTATTGACGTTCTCTTTCACTGGGGGATCATTGGGAGATCCACGAAAAAAAAAGAAAGAATATATATATATATATTCACGACAGAGAAAAGGGAGAAAAACCAGAAAACATAAAAAAAAAAGATAAAACTGCACTCTCACGTCATTTATTATTCCCCGTCCTGTTCTGTTACTCACTCCCCCAAACCATAGAGTAAATAAATCCACGATAACAAGAGAAAAAAAAAGAAGGAAGAAACAAAGAAAGTTAACAAATACATAAAGAGAAAACAAAACAAAACAAAAAGACCTGTTAAACACTAAGAAAAAAAAAGGTCAACAACAGAAAAAAAAAAAAAGAAAGAAAGCTTAACGTTATCGTCTTTGCTTATTATCAATTGCATGGTGATCAAAAAGAACTAATGATGATTTTTACAGTGATTAAACAGAAACTATTACAACAAAAAAAAAGAAGGAAAAGCAAACATACAATAATGCATATATGTGTACATGCGTATATGTATAGATATTTGTAAAAACATGTTTATATACCCTTACATCCTTTCTTTTTTTTTTTCGTCTTTTTCCCAATATATATATATATATATATATATATAT